TACAAGATGTCCCCGCGCGATGTGTGCGTCGTCGACGAGCTGTCGGAGGTCAGCTTCGCGTCGTGTGTCGATCCGCTGTGGCTGCTGGAGGACAAAATCTGCAACAGCAAGGACGATCTGATGCTGATTGACGCACTGGATTTTATTGAGCTGGTGGCACTAGACTGAGTTGGTGTCAGCAACAGCAAAACTGCGGGTCTTCCGAACACGGAAGGACAGCGCGTGGATGCAGTCTGGGGCTGAAGACGCGAAGGCACTGAAAAGGGGCGATACGACTGTTTTTATCGAAACACTAGCACATGATGACAACGAGCTTTATGGGGAGGATCCACTTGACGAGTTCCTGGCAAAATTTGATGCTCCAACCTTAAAGCAGATTCACGTGCTTGTGTTGGTCCCGCAGGATGACGATAAGCAAGGGCGAGCACGTAAGGAGGCCAGAGTAATACAATTACCGACTAGAATCGCGAAGGAAGATGTGAAGCTCATTGCAGACCTATTAGACATCGACAAGTGAAAAACTGGTGACGTGGTCAGTACTTTTTTGACGTTCACCGTGTGGAACCGGATTTCCCTGAGTGTTATTATGTTCGGCAGGAAACTCTGGATATTATCAAGTTATTCCATGAACTTATGGAAAAGAAACTCAAGATTATATTTGTGGGGGGGTGCCAGGGGTTGGGAAGAGTATGCTGGTCATCTTATTTGCGTTCTACAAGGCATTGCGTCAGCTGAAAACCGTCATTTTGTTTCGTAAGCTGAAAGGAACAGGATTTTCCATGCTGTATTTGAATGCAACAACCCAGCAATTTTGGCGAAAGGATAGAGCAAGTTTTGAAGATCTTCATCTTGTGAACGACCAAAGCTTTGAATTGTGTCTAGACGGTTTCGTGCACGATGAAATTGAGCAGAGCTTTGGAATTCTCGCCCAATTCCGACTACTTGCCACAGGACAGTACAACTTGAAGAACAACGACATTCCTGTGCTCAGGCGATGTCTCGTTCCCTTTTGGTCCAAGTCGGATTTGATCGCGATCGGTGAGCATTTTGCATGGACTGAACACGATATCAACGAGAAATACTTTTACGCGGGTGGAAATCGGCGTGGTTTCTTGTTGGGCGAGGAGGTTGCCAAAGACAGTATTGACAGTGCTGTTCGTCACGTCGATTTGAATGGTATCCAACTACTCAACACTCAATATGGTCTTGGATCACAGGTGCAAATTCATCGCTTGCGAATGGCATCCACCGGCCAAAGCGCCAACCTGAAGAAGTATTACATGTCTGGATCGTGGTTTTGTGTGATCAAGTCAGTGTATGCGTTGAGAAAACAAGCCCACATTGTAACGCCGACCTTACTATCAGGAGCAAGTCGAGTATTGGTATCCAAGCCAAGTTGAAAATAGGTGGAGATGACGTGGTTGGGCTAATGCAACTGACGAAATTCGAGACCCACAAAGAGGATTCTACGGCACTTGACGAATATGCAAAACTGTTTCCGTAAGGCGATGTTATGTACATTGCGTTGGTGCCAGATAAGGAGACGAGCGACACCTTTTGCTTTTCTCCAGCTGATCCTCCAACGCAATTGCAGTTACGTGATGCGTATATCGAATCAAGAAAATGGAAGAACTATCAAGCTTGTGATAAAGCTTTGGCAACTTGCCTTTTTAGTGCTTCAGCCTAAGCTATAATACTGTTGCTCTCTGATGTTACCTTCGCGTCGTGTGTGGATCCGCTCCGGCTGCTAGAGGACGACATCTGCAGCAGCAAGGACGATCTGTTGCTGCTTGACACACTGAATTCTGTTGAGGTGGCGACAGTAGACTGGGACGTCGCCGTCTCGTCCGTTGATGTTAGCGACAGCAGCGTCTACAGTGATGGCGACAGCAGTACATTCAACGTTGATGTCGATGTCGAACTGGGCTTCTACTTTAAACTCGACTGCGTGGCAGCGACTGACGTGTTGGTTGAAGCCGACGTATTCGCCATCCTCGATTGCCTCGAAATCTCTCAGGCAATCTTGGACTGTGAGATGAAGGCACTGCTCGGAGGTGTCTCCAACAATAGCAACGCCGACGCGGACATCTTGCAGTTCGTATAGCTCGTGTGCACGCACGTGCGCAATGTGTTGTATAAGTATTGTAATCGTGTCCAAGGAGGTTGTTTCTAATTTATAAATTCATCGACATCTGAACCACGGACAAATTGGGTGAGTGAAAATACATTTGAACTAGAAATGATACACTTGTGTGGTGCTACTTCGAAGACACTGCAACTGCTTCCTGGAGTCGTTTCTCAGTCCAAGCTTTACAACCGCTCTCCAGAGCTTGAAATCAATCTAATAATCAAAGTCATCTCGCTCAGTGTAGTCGTTTTCAGAAGTCTGCCATCGGCGTCTGGCCCCGATCTGTAAAGAAAACAAAATCATACACGAGATCTCAGAATGATACCCCGAAAAAAAAAGCAGCAAACTAATCCTTTGCACACAGCACCTCGTCAAGCTCCTCGCTGTCCGCCAGCGACTCGTCCGATGACTCTTCGTCTGGATAATCATTTGCCTCGTGGTCCTCATCGTTTGAATCCTCGCTCAATCTACAGATCAGGTAAATCACAGACAGTAAAACAAAGTGTCAAAAACATATTCACAGTGACCGCCTCTCAGCATTAATCATCTTTTAGATAAATCCCATTCAGCGGTCCCAGGGATATCTATACAAGCATGCGTACCCGTCGTCTTCTTCGTTGCTATCGATGTCGGACTCCAGCATATATTCCTCCACCTCCTCGCTCGGTGTATCTTCCGATAGCCATCGATGCACCTCCGAGCTCACATTTACAATTGGCACACCATTCACACTTGTTTGTTCAGAGCCACTAGTTGCTCCGTCATGCGCACTGTCTTGTCCTTCACTAACAGAAATGTCGACGCAGTAAACGTCGTAAACGTAGTCTTTTTCTCGCTCCGCTTCTTCACAGGCAAGTAGTGCTGTCTCCACATTGGCATGGCCTCCACGTTTCGCAAACACCGCAGCTGTAGCACCTTCCCAGTCCTGTTGCAGTACACTCGTGCTACCCGAGCGTAGTAGCACTTCAATCACATCACTGCGTCCGTGCAGCGCTGCAGCCATCAGAATGGAACTCCCATCTGCTGGTCGTTGGAAGGTCGACGGGTCCACACGAAGTTCAGGCCGTCGCGCGTGATAAATCTGGAAAAATGGCGCGAAATCATTGGCACGGAACGCATTCCAAATGGCCTCGTCCAGCTCGCGCTCGTGCGGGTTCAGGACACGTGTAGGCTTCAGTTTTGCTCCATTGACCGTGACGACATCAGCTTTGCTCTTCTCTAGAATCTCCTCGTCCTTCTTCTTACTTAGAGCAGGTGTTACTTGTAGATCTACCAGCCGGATGCCGTGCATCTGCATTGTCTGCTTCTCCTTAATCTCCATGACGGGTTGTAGTCCTCTAGATTTGAGCATCCCCTCTTTCCGTCGCGCCTTGGAGCGACTCTGCTGCTGTTTGACACGTTTCTCCGTCTGCTTAGAGGCCGTCGGGTCTTTCTGGAACACTGGAACGAGCTGCTTCTTGGCCATCATATCGGCGTGCTCGTCCTTGAGCGAACGTGCCTTACGTTTAAGCCGCTCTGTCCACTTAGAGCGACCCGGAGCTATCGGTTCCTCCATGGTGTCAATGTGTTTGAAGACATAACGCTTCTCGGTGGTTGACAGATTCGTAAAGGCCTGCAATAAATCCGTCTTGGAGCGCTTCGAGTCCGGTTCACTGTGCACCACCAGACACTCCATCGGGTCGTCCGTGCGCTTGCGTTTCAGACGCAAGAACACAAACGAAGGTTTCTCATGAGCTTCGGGCTTGGCTTTCGACTCGCGTGGGGCTCTCGCAGCAGCGATAGACGGCGTCGTACCAGGCGCCTTCTTGTCCTCCACCATTTCTTTTCGAAAGCAAAATGTACCAATATACTGGTACGTTGAGATGGCTACATTAGATAAAAATACTCAGTACCACTGCAACTTGTGCGTTGGAGCGATAGAAACGTATTATTAGTGTGTACGTTGGTCGAAGACGCAGTGTGGAATTGACGGAAGATTTCTAGCTGCGTTGGAATCATGAGCACGGTCGTGGTTGGTGATCTACGCCACGAGATGGACGAGAATGTGATTGCTACTTCGACGACGGTGAAGCGGAAACCGAGCACAGGCGCACCAAGGCCTGCTGACATCAAAACACGTTTTCTCATTCGAACATTGCCGAGGGATTGCAACCCGACGCCGGTTCCTACTGGTGGATCGAGCGCCAGTGCCTCGGGGCTGCCGTCTCCAGTAATGAGCAAGATCGGTAGGCAAGAGACTGATCTGGAGACCCTGCAGCTCGATAACCCGTTCGATGACATCACAGAGGAAAAACTAGTGAGTTAGAAGCCTCGTGATTATTTTTTTCTATTTATTTATCTTAACTTTATTTGCTTGATGCTGTAGAAACAATTGACAGGAGGACAAGATCTGGAACGCGTTACTTCGCTGCAGATATCGGTCGACTCGACGAAACAATCGGTTGAAGTGATAGGAGAGCTCTTGCCGTCTCTACGGCAATTACGATTGCAACAGAGCAATCTCAGCAGTTTTAGGGATCTAGGGACGTCGCTTCGTTCATTGAGGATTCTCTGGGCAATGCACTGCCAGATCTCCGACCTCGACGGTATCGGAGCGCTAATGAACTTGCAGGAGCTGTATTTACAGCACAACAATGTGAGTGATATCAGTCCGTTGACGATGCACGAGGAACTTCGTGTGATTGGTACGATATTATTTTTATTTGCCAAATAATGATGATGCTTATCATTTGTTGCTTCCAGATCTGGAAGGGAATCAAATCGCTGATATTGGCCAGATCGAACAGCTCGGTAAAGATGCTTCTTACTTTTACTCGTTCATTACCCTCAAAACTTAACAATTTTGCTTCAGCCTTTTGTCCGCAGCTCACATCACTCAACTTGACTGGAAACCAAATTGAGAATGTCAATTACTACCGCCAGATTGTTGCCAACTTCGTTCCACAACTAGTGTCACTGGATGACAAAGCATTGTCCGACAGCGAGAGGTTCAAGCTTCCAGACTCAGAGATTGACATTGCCATCCAGAAATACCGAGATCATCTTCAAAATGCATCGACCAATGAAGCAGCAGCGATAGTGCTGAACGAGATCAGTAGCCCCCGCCAACTTTCATATTCTTCAAGCACAACTAGTCTGAATGGACTCACTGGCGATTCTCCTCGTACTGATGACTCGGGTAGCCGCCTAACTCATGGAACAGACATCGTGTTCGCTGGAAATGTCTCGAGTGCTTTACGTCGACATCGACATGAGGCCGAAGCGGGGTCAGCTAACGATCTGATAAGGTCTATTGGAGGTAGCTCTGAAGACTCTACAACTTCTGTTACCTCGCGTCTTCCATCGAGTCATGGACTAGTAGAACGTCCAAAGACACCAGCACAACGAATTTCTATCACCGACACACTTGATCGAGCTCGAGAACTGGACACTCACAAGCACAAGTCGCGTGAATCTATCCTTGACGAGCTTAAAACCTGGCAACTTGACAGTGTTGGGACGTCACAAATCGGAGTTCCCCGTGACGCCAACGAAGCTTTTTGTCGCGAAAACATCGCATCGAACCGCAGCAGATCTCGTCGAAAAGGAAGTGTCGACGGAGTCATTGGCAGTGAGGCGGCCATTGCCGCAACTCGAGCACGACTGGAACGTCGACCTAACACTTCAGCTGGGGTTTTGCGTAATGGCGTCAACGTCCGAGAAGATTTTGTCGACATGGCACGAGGGTCAAGTAATAGTTCACGGTCAAGTTCTCGAGGAGGATCTTCAAACTGTCGTGGGCCTTCGGGCACTGGTAATGTCGACATCCTCATTTTAGATGGCAGCGATGACAAGCGCCCATGTTCATCTACTAAGACACCCAGAGGTATCTTCACGACAAGTTCCAGCTGTACGAAGGCTCTTGGACACCAGCACGACTGGAATTTAGAGGTGCTCTCCCCAAAAGTGGACATCTCAACAGCTAAACGCCATCTTCCTACTTCGCTGAGCAGTAAACAACTTGAGCGCTCGCAAAGACAAAAAGCTGAAGACAACGATGATTCCAGCGACGATGAGTAAGTATCCCGTGAGTATTGTGTCGGTATGGTGCGGTGACGTGTGCATCTTAGATGGCTTGTCTCCCCAGTAAATAACACGCTTCTGTTCGTTATTGTGCCCTTAGGTTAAGCATCTGTCCAGCCGTGGCAAGCGAATTCAGTAGTCCGACGCCAATACCCAAGACAGCATTCTTTAATGTGGTCGAGAGCTTGAATGCGATTGAAAAGTGGAGAGACGAAATGGAGTACGACGCAGAAGATAGCGCCATCTTGAATGTTGCTAGCCTTCAGAGCTGTCTTTCTCCACGCAATACCGACTCGGCAATGGAAAGTACAAGTGTCAGTATCTACGAGAATACAGACGACAACTGTAGCAACCAGCAAAGCTCACCAACTCGTCAACAGCAACGCCAGAACTTGACGCTTGGTCCTGGAAACAATGAGAGTGATCACCAACTGGTTCAGTTCTTAAGAGACAGACATGGTCAGCTCAAAACCCGCGACGGCTTTCGATCATTCTTCCGCGGCATCGAGAAGGAGCGTCTGGAGAATATTCTACGTCAAGCGTTAGCCGATCATGACAAAGTGAAGCGTCGAATGCAGCTCATGAATGGGTTCTTCCGCCACGAAGTACAATAGGTTGAGAACGAATACATAATAAAAACACGTACAATCTGTTGGATATTAGTCACCGCGTGTATTTGAATAGGAATCGTCCAACCTTATTGACAGTCATTCGACCCAACAGTACCAGCGTCCCCCTATTCGGTCGCTTCAGTCGAGTTCCATGACGATAATTGACGCTCCATCTACGAGCGGTAGTCGGCGTTAATGGCCACATACTCGTGCGTAAGGTCAATGCCCAACACCTGAGTCTCCTCGGAGCCAACACCCAGGTCAATCTCAATCTGCCATTGGAAACAAAAGCTATGTTATCACCTCATTCGACACAGTAACAAAACAAACGGCTTACCTCGACAAACTTTCCGTGCGGCGGATAGTTGTGTGAGCTGGCATCAAGTCCACCGCGAGTGGGCTCAATCAGCATCGCGTCGCGCATGTGGGCCACCAACTTGGCCTCAATATCATCGTTGAGCACCATCTCGCCGTTCTCGAAGATGACGACACCACCCATTCGGATCTTCATGCGACGTTGAATGTTCACATCCTTGTGGTACGATCCCATGTACTTACCCACAGCCATAACTAGACGACCCACGTTCGGGTCGTTGCCTGCCACCGCACACTTGAGCAGTGGCGAGTTGACCACCGACTTGCCGACACCCTTAGCCATATCCTTAGACAACGCACCGCTTACACGCACGCGCATCACGTGGTGCGCACCTTCACCGTTGCGTACAATGTCCTCACTGAGTCCAAGACACACCTCATGCAGTGCCTTCTTGAACTCTTCCAGCTGTGTCATGTCGAACGGGATCTGGTCCGACGACACGAGCGTCACCGTGTCGGACGTGCTCTGGTCCGTGTCCACACTGAGCGAATTGTACGTGTCTCCAACCACCTCCGTCAGTAGCTGACGCAAAACGTCACGCGGAATCGATAGATCTGCCGCAATACCATTGTGAGTTTTTTTTACAATAAAAGTAATGAAGTTTATGCTTTAACCACGCACCGGTGAGGATGTAGGACAGCATAGTCGCCATATTGGGTTCGATCATACCAGCACCCTTGGCAATGCCGACAATGCGGCCACCGCACACGTCCATGGAGCGGATCTTCGGGTACAAATCTGCCGCAAAATTTGTCAGTTCCTAGAAAAAAAAAGAATCAAGTATGAATTAATTGCTACCCACCGGTGGTCATGATGCCCTCAGCAGCAGGTAGAACCGAGTTGGACTGCAGATTGGTGACGAGTTTCGGAAGGTTCTCGACCATAGCGTCTACAGGAATTCGCCAACCGATGACACCCGTAGAGCAGGGCAACACCTGGGAGCCTCCGTCCAGTCTCAAGTGCTTCGCTAGATTCTCACACACCTCCTCAGCATCAGCCACGCCACCGCCACTGGCGCAGACGTTGGAGATTTTGTTGTTAACCAGGATAGCACCGAGCTTTGGCTCGTTCAAACGCTTGCGACCCACGAGGACAGGGGCACCGGGGAAGGCGTTCTGCGTGAACACGGCAGCGAAGAGCGACGTGGGCTTGACGGGTTTAATAAGTGTCATGGTCATCTTAGCCGGCAAGTGAGGCGCCTCCTGCGGCACGAAATCGAAGTTGGTGGTGGCCACTGAGAAACCCCAGGGCAGGCGGCTCTGGTGAGCCTCGAGGTAGTCCATGTACTCATGGCGCGAATCGAACACGAACGGGTGACCGTGAGTGGACAGGCATCGCTTCTGTAGCAGCGAGCGCGAGCGGGAGAGCGACGTCAAGCGCAGGATCGTCATGGCGACTAGATAGCTGGGGGACACCTCTTGAGTTGTGGGCCAGTCGGGAAAGTTAAACCGACCTTAGATTTTTCCTGTGGACATGAAGATCGGCCAAACGACCAATCACAGCGCTTCAAGTCAAGCTACAAATCGCTTCAACTTGGAGTCACAAATGGGACTAATAAATAATCCGATCAAATTTTGAGTTGTCATATTTTCAAGCCCTCTAATTGGTCAAAACACATAGTCCGCTCAAATTTTCCAGGTCGCTGTGGGATGTTATTTTAGAAGCATACTGAGTCCAAGATGTGGGACCCCAGAAAAATAGTCCCGAGTTTAGTCCACTTTAAACCCACTTCGAACTAGACACATGGACGACTCCGAGGCAGCGCCGCTTCCTCCGCCCCCTCCGCCACCTCCACCGCCACAAGACGATATCAAGAAAAAGAAGCCGACGCCAAGCAACCCCAGCCAGCCGAAGCCCAAGAAGAAGAAGGATTTCCGAGAGATTCTGGCGCTGTTCCACGATGAGGAAGTAGGTCAGGATAAGGTGAAATGCGAGTGGAGTGCGCTGTGGCAGACAACGCTAGCTGAGAGTCAGGAGGATCACAAGCAGCGCCGGCAGCAGGAACAGCACGGCATTAAGCGCAAGAAAAACGAGCACGACCACGGCCCCATGTCGTCTCGAAGCGGACCTGGCTCGCTCTCACGCCTCGGCAGCATGAATCAGGATCATATCAAACGAGCACGACAGGTACGGCTGTGCTTGCCGGTGCTCCTGATTTTTTTAAATCACTTTTTGACGTTTCTTTGTGTTTGTTTTAAGGGGTCTGCGGCTAGCACGGACTCGTCTGAATCGGGCAAGGGCAGTCGATTAGGAGGACGTTTTCCCAAGAACGTCCCAAAGGGGTCCAAACTCATGCAGAAGTTCGGAGGCCGTACTTAATGTCAAGTGTGCGTAATATATAGAGAATGGAGGCTTAGTTCGTTTCCTGGCGCTTTGTCGTTGATGATCCGAGCGTCGACGCATCGGAGATCAACCGCTAGTGTGAAATACCTCGGTATTCTACTTTCACACACGAGGCCTTGCGAAAACAAGTGATTCATTCATAATGTTGCAGATGTGGATGGATTCCATTATTCAAGTGCGACGTAAACGATATTCGAGTACTACAACAAACAACACTACGCTAAACATCACGGATAGTGACTGCTCAGGGACTATACAAACAGCGGCGTGTCCACGTCGGTGCTGATGATCGCGACATCTTCGAGCCGAACGTCAAATTCGCAGTCCAATATCACCTGGGTGATCTCGAGGTCACCGAGGATGACAGACACGTCGGCATCAGTCAGCACGTCAGTCGGTGCCGCGCCGTCGAGCTCGAAGCAGAAATCCAAATCGACATCAACGTTGTTGATCCTGATGTCGCTATTGGTATCGCTATCGTTGCTGCTGACATCGACTGGCGAGATGACGGCGTCCCAATCCAACTCCTCCAGCTCAACAGAATCCAGTGCGTCGAGCAGCACCAGATCGTCCTTGTTGCTGCAGATGTCTTCCAGCAGCCAGAGCGGATCGACACACGACGCGACGGTGACGTCCGACAGCTCGTCGACGACACACACATCGCGCGGGGACATCTTGTACTTCTTCGTCGAGGTTGAGTACTGGGTGGTCGTGGTATCCAGAAGACTCCGAGGTCGCTTCATCGACGGCGTTTCCTTCACCGGTGTGGTTGTCGTTGTTGTCACAGCCTTCTGCTTGAGCTTCATCTGACTCACCAAGACGATGAGCTGCGACGGGTGACACCGCACGAGCACGTCGTGGCTGAAGGTGGCAACACTGGCGCGTGTCTTGGTCCACTTATGGAAACCGAAGTTGTTGAGCTGGCGTTGAAAGCTTGAGAACTTGGCGTGCTTGAAGTACTTGCGTAGCACCTCGCTCTCCAGTCGCGGCACGTCGTAGACTTGGAAGTGTGATCCATCGGCCGACCAGGAGAGGATACACTGGTCTTCGTTCTGCAGCATGTCGTAGACGGCGCGCACGAAGCGAGGCACGTCGGTGGCAGTGTTGATATCCAGATTCATGTTCACGTTGCTTTGATTGCTCTTGAGTGGCTTGTGCCCAATTGAGTTGTGACGGAGTTGCTAGATGGTGTCTGTTTGTGGAGTCAAACTTGGGCAGGATTACAAGTATACCGTTCTAGAAGGAGACAGTTGGTAGGCGGCAACGGCGACAGGAGGATGAGGAGAAGCTCGCCAAGTGGTAAAGCACCAATGCAATTGTCATATTTAGCGCAAACCAAGAATGTTCGAGTAGACTTCTCACTTCTGCTGTTGAAGCGACCATGCTGCTGTCAGGGAACTCACCGAGGACTCGCATGGCATTCGCGTTCTGACAAAGCACATGCTTCAGACTGTGAACATACAATTACAGTACAGCCAGCTGCCTGTCGACTAAGATCAAACTGTAGTTGAAGTTTACCAGATGGTGCACTGGCCTGAGCATTAATGAGGCAACTTACCCCCGCATGGTCGGAACGAAACAATTGATTGAAGACACTAAAACGACAATAGAACGGTCCTAATAAATACTTGCATTTTTGTCATCTCACGTATGCTTGAACTCTATCAACCCACACTGGCACGTGGGGGTGCTTTGCGGCTTGATCCGTTGAACAGCCTTGAGTTCTGCAACAATCGTCGCGCTGCTGCTTGGGCAACAGGACTTGACAGCAGCGACACACCAGCCCCGCTAGGACGGCCCTCGTCACTGTCTCCTGCGCGTAGATCATGCAGTAGTTCTTCAAACCCACGCCCATAACTAATGTCGCTGGAGAAAATGTACGCTCGACCTTCTCTCTCGAACAGTCTGCCCAAGGAAGAGTCCACGCCGCGAGGTCTCTTGGAAAAATAAATTGGTACAATTGTTTTACCTTTGTCTTCAGCAAACGCCAACTGGTCACTAACCAGTTCAGTCTTGACACTGCGCTCCGATAACACCACGAGAAACACGGAGCTCTGTAAGATCGCATCCTTTGCCGCCAAAATGCGCTCCTTAGTGCTCGATACATTGGTCATGGAATCGACCACGAACGGGAACTGGTGACGCCGAAGCTCAGTGCACAAACGCGTTACGAAGTCGCGATGGCAGTCCCCGTGAGACACAAAGATCGAAAAGGTTGGTCCTCCTCCAAACGTGTTTCTCCTCCCACTTCCGCGAACGATCACTGCGTTCACAATCTCGTCCATCCCTCGGCGTCTTAAAGTAGCAGCTCGACCCAAAGGTTGGTGCTTGCTCAGCGTTGTTTGAGCGAGATCTCTATCGCCTTCAAGTCGATGCATCTCAACCTCGTCCCGCAGTCCATCGATGAGACTTCGGAGACTGGCCTGGAACTTATCTTCGTCAATCTCAAACTCGATATGGTCTACAGTTGACGTGTCTGATACAGTGGAGCCGTCTTCACTGGACTCCGCCGTCTTGAAGTGATGCGACGTCACGGCCTGGCCGAATGGAACGATCTGTCGCGTGAACACAAACAGCTGCAGTTCCTCGGACATTTTAACGGATTCGCACGAAATCGGCACCACAGGAACCTCGTGCTGCTTGGCAAATGCCAGTTCATCCATGCACAACACACTCTGCGCGTAGCCATCACTGAGCATGCAGACGATGGCAGAAGCATGCTTCATCACCTCCAGAGATTCTTCAGACGCGCCGCCTCCCAGTCGCCCAGCCGTATCTTCTTCTTCGCTCCGCATGTACACCGTCATAAAATTCTGCTCAATCCCAGCACGCACACGCTCGGCGAACGCACGAAACACCGGATCAAACGAAAGCACAACGTCGACACAGCCACCCGCGACTTTGACTGCGTACTGCAGCTCAGCCGACGCGCAGCACTCTACAGCACGACGTCCTTCTCCATTCAGCGCGTACAGGTCAGCTTTACCTTCGACAAGCAGAGCTAGCGCAGTCTCTTTGTATCCAAGTCGCAACGCGATATGGAGAGGGGTCTCATCTATCTCGTTGGGAACGAGAGCGTCGACATCGACCCCAAATCGGACGAAGAGCTCCACGCAATCACCTCGCAGTAGTCCGCCATCGACAGCAAAGGCCAGAGGTGTCATTCCATCATGATCTAGCTGCAAAAAGTCTACATCAACTGCAAGAAGCTCTTCGACTGCACCAGCATAGTTATGTCGAGCAGCCCAGTGCAGTGGTGTCCGTCCATGACTGTCCTTTGCATTGACATCAGCTCCGCGTTTCACCAGTTCACTAATCACACGATGTCTTCCCATCACAGCTGCCCAGTGTAATGGCGTACGGCTGTGCGCTCCGCGCTGGAACTCGCCCAGGATGTCGGCGCTAATCCCCCACGACAATAAATGCTGGACCGCAGCAAGATTTCCAGCAGCGGCAGCCTCGTGCAGCGGAGTCAGCGCGACGTCAGCGCCCCATTCCTCTAACACAGTAGCTAGTTCTCGACGACCAGAGAGCTGCGCGCGTTGGAGGACCGTCGTGCTTGCGGCATTGCCACCTCCCGGCACCAACAGGATATTGGCTCGGTGTCGAATGAGGCACTCCACGACATCAGCTGAATCCGCCAAGAAGATTGGCGTGACGCGCATGGAGCGCGAGAAGAAGCTAGAGCGAGCCAGGATGTCTAGGTTGGCGCCGAACTTCACCAGGAGATCGATTACCTGCGTATGGCCGTGTAATGCGGCCACATGCAGCGGCGATCCCAATACATGCGTCACTTTCTTTACTCGAAGTTGACACAGTTCGTACATCAGCTCTAAATTGAACGTCGCGCCCGAGATTTTGTCAAGGAAATTGGGGTTCAGACCTGCTTCAAGCAACACCGAGACAACGCGAACGTCTCCCGCTCGACATGCTACGTGCAGTGGGTTGTGCGTCCGATGCGAGAACATCCAGCAAAACAGGGAGGGCGTGGTGTACATGCGGTTAAGCAGCATGTCCAGCTGCACCTTGGACCCAAGCACATGCTCTGCACGCTCCAGCAACTTCTCCACTGCTGCGCAATTTCCACTCGCAGCAGCATTATAAAGCGCGCCTCGCAGCTGTCGCTCCACCGTCCGGACTGTATTCTGCGTCGTCGCCCACGGATGCAGCTCCTGGTTCAGCGTTAAGTACGAATCGACGTGGTTCGACTGCAAGATCGGTGTATTCACGCCACTTGCAGTGGGATTCTTGTCACCTGTAGCCTCTGTGTCGCTTGATGTGCTGCCAGTTGCTCCCGCTAGAGCCGTCGGCGCCACTGCCATCAATTCATCCTCCTCCAGACCCGCTCCAAGCTGCAGTTGTTGGTGTGCACGAAGCTTGTCGAATTGCTGTGTGTGTAGTGCAATAGTAAGGATGGCAAGAAGCGTGACGTACGACACGGGGTCCGTCCAAATGGCCCATACGCCTTCTTCTGTGAGCTCTCCGAAGGCCCAGTACACGCCTAACATCAGCACTACAATCCACGTGAGCGACACCGTTTGTATCACCACAATAGCCTCAAAGATGGCCAGCGTCAGTGTGCGTTCTAATGTCACTCCAGGGGCGTCAAAAGCGGAGCGAGATAGCGAGAAGGAGCTCACAGTCCGAGTGCCCAGCAGCTGTTCGCTCGTAGTCGCCGTCGCGGATTCCTCGGCATTTGGGGCGTCGACCTCGCGTACGCGATAGAGAGACACGGAGGGCAGTGCCGCCAACCCTAGTGACACGTTCAGCGCTTGCAGTCCGAGCCAAATGTCGAGGACGACGCCCTGGGAACTTGTGAAGAAGAGCAGCAGAAGAGATCCTACAGAGAGAAGGGACGTAGCTGCCACGCGCCATGTATAGTACGTGTTGGACCACTGCAGACACGCATCTACACCTCGCCAACGAAGTCTCGAACGTGAAGGAGACGACGGGGGAGGTGGCGATGTTGCGCCAGAGGCATTTGCAGCCATTTCAGGAAGTGCCCACTCGATGGGTGGAACATCAGATACCACTGAAATCGATAGTAGCAAGTAGAAACGGATTGGAGAGGGTCCAAGTGGCCGAAGCTTCTTTTTACAAGGACTTGTAGCCTGTCTAGATAGCTCGTAGATCATGTATTATATTTAACAGGTTCTCATCCGACCGAACACAGTCGGCTCTATGATACAAATTCGAGTATGAGCTTTTCTTGCATTATTTAGCGTAAAGATGGAGGGAGCCTACACGCTGTAGGTTGGAGCTAGTAAAGCGCTGCAATCTCCACGTATCATGGATGCTCTGAGCGGAGAGGGATTCAGGCGCAAGTCGAGAATTCTTACTGCGACGATGCGAGACACGCGTCAAAGGTCGGACGGAACAGCCAGTGGCTTAATTTTACCCAATTAGCGTATCGTTTTCGCATTATACATTCGACCATTGGATAAAATTGCGGACAAGAAAGCTCCTCCAAAACGAGTCGGTCAACCAATCAACCGAACGACTTCACAAGGAAGAAAGCAGGACAAGAAGCAGTGCACACGTCGCACACGCAGACTGACAAGACCTTCTAGGCAGACCGCTGGACTCAGACCACTACACACCAAACTCATCTACTTTCCGAGCCTCTAGCATCCCCGACTAGCCCAGTACAGTAACAGGAACACAGTATAAAGGCCATGGCCAAGCGCATCCGAGTGACCAAGCAGGAGGCCGCTACGTCCGCGCCGGCGAGCCTCCCAGACGCAACCAAGGTGGCGCCTAACGCTGCGCCCAAGGGGAAAACGACCACTCCTACCAACGCCGAGGGGAAACACGTGATGCTGCCTGCTTTCCTGTCCAAGACGTACGAAATTTTCAGTATGCCCGAGTTCTCGCACGTCTGCGGCTGGAACGCGAACGGAGACACCATCATCGTGTCGCAGCTCGAGGCCTTTGTGGCCATGGTGCTGCCACGCTTCTTCAAACACCGCAACTTCCCGTCCTTCGTGCGCCAGCTGAACCTTTATGGCTTCCACAAGACGGTGCTCGACTCGAAGCGCCTCGAATTCCAGCACCCGTACTTTAAGCGCGGCCGACCCGACCTGCTACATCACATTAAACGCAAAGTGTCAAACAGCAATCAACACAACCAACAGCTCGTCAATTCCTCCATCCAGGTGAGCGTCGCAGTATCATCACATGTATTTTATTTTACTTACGTTTTTATATGAACAGAACTCGCGACTTGATGCGCACCGAGAGATCTCAGACACACTACTGCGCGAGATGAAGGAGCTACGTCAGCGCAGTGACGCCATGGAGAAACGTCTGCGTGAGCTGGAGATTGACAACGCGGTACGAACGATTGAACAATCGTGTATGGGCACTCGACGACTGACTTCATCTATTTAATGACAGATTGTGCGTAGCGACAATCTCAAGTTGTGGAAGCACCTGGAGCAGGCAAAGGACAAGCAATTGATCATGCAGGAGAAGATGAAGAAGATCATGTGGATTCTGTTCCAGATCTACCGTGGAAAACAACAGAATCTCCCCAAGCTCTCCGGCAACGACGCTACTGGCGCAGTCATCAGCGAAGAGTAAGTGTCGCTGGCATGCGATGGCCAGGTCTCATCGAGAGTATTGAATGTGTGGCTAACCATTTATGCTGCTGTGTGGTATTTGCAATTCGTGCCTGCTCCTTGCTGGGTTCGAACTTTTCTTTGTCCTATTGGTAGCTACATCAACAGCAGCATGCTTGGACCCAAGGAATTTCGTGATGTTCTGCGTTTTTTGGCGATGGACGAACCTCCGCTGTTGCCGGGATCGACTGATGTTGCTACTGCGGCGCCCACCTCGAGGAAGCGGAAATTCGTCGAGGTTCCGTCGGATGTCAATGATGCAGCTCCATACAAATTAGGTGTGTTTTGTGACGTGGTGGGGCGATTTAATACTTTATGACTGACTGGTTTTTGTCAGATGTAGAGCCATCCTCGATTGACGTCCCCGGTATAGTTGAAGATCTCAACCCGTTCGCAATGACTGTGCCATCTACCGCACGCTCTGTGGCGCATGAGGACAGTGCCCAAAACAACGTGCTGAGCATCTTTTCGCCGTTAAAAAATGCACTAAACAGCAGCAATGTCGACGCATCACTGGGTGGACTTCTTACGAATGGCGTGGCCTCTCCAAGAATGTCTGCGGCTGTGCCAGCGCCTACAGTAACGGCACCAACCACGTCGACTCCGACTGCATCGGCGCCGACTGCACCAACCGTGACCGTGTCGACTCCGAACGTAAGTACTCCGGCCTCTAGCAGCGGAAGCCCGACGCCGAGCGAGAAAGCGGCCGTGTCGACTGGTACTGTCGCTAACGCAACGGCAGACGCGAACAATCAGCTGGCGTTTTTGGACGAAGACCTCCCTCTACTGCCAGACTCAGAGCACTACAGCTTCACTGACGGCGAACAGGTATTGCCACGCATCCTGCAGTCTTGCTCTGGACGCTTTAGTGTTCTGTATTGTGGATTGTGATCTAATGGCGTGTCTGTTGATGGGCTGTGCATTAGCAGGCAGTGATGAAGAAACTCGAGGATTTTGAGACGTCGCTTTTGGACGAATACGACGTCAGTTGCCTTGATACACTTCTGCAACAACTGAAAAATTCTAGTGGAGATAAACCGGCTGGGGTTTCAGTGGCAGAACCAGAGGAGGTCATCGTGGGACCGGCCAACGCGTCGCCGAACGATGCGTAACGGTGAGGATGACGACGATCACTTCATCCACGAAGCTTCATATCCACGTACATGTCAAGCGAGTTGCGGCGCTTGTTACCGGTAGGACTGTCGTATGCCTACTACTGATGAGCGGTGGAGCGTGGCGACTTGCGGTCTCCTCGCCAGAATAGAAACAGATCGAGTGTCAAAAAGTCAAGAAAAAAAACATTCATGCGGAGCGAAGGAGGCACAAGAGGCGAAACCAAGAGACGGAGACGAGTTCGTACGAACAAACAGCCAAGAGTTGATGCGATAGGCATTCGACGGCAGCGAACGAGCGCTCCGAAACGATGACGAACACATACACGCGGCTGTTTTTATTTATGCAATATGCGAGAATCGAGACAACCAAACAAGAAAATCAAAAAAAGTTTAGTAAATATCCTTCATGTCGTTTAAAGCATTGATATCTTCGGTCGTTGTTTAGGCGGCTTCTCGACCTTCCAATTGACTGCGCAGCCGTTTGATCTCCTTGTCCTTGCGTCCTAGCTCCAGTTGCGCAGTTGCGAAGAGAGTGGAAATGCTGTTCTCCAATTGCTTGTTAGCAGCACCAAGCTGTCGGTTCTGCTCCTGCAACTGCGCCAGTTCGTCCCGCAGCCGCTTATTCTCCTTCTCAACCTTCGTCTTGATGTCCAGCGCCTCCTTCTTCTCTAAGGCGTTGGTGGACGTATCCAAGTCCCCGTATAAGTCTTCCATGTTGGCCAATCCGAAAATAAGGCTTACAAAATCCCAGTCATTCGCCGTTTCGGAAATAATTTGCAAAATTGACAATTGTTACCATGGACTCGAGATGCAACAAGTTTTGGGAGGATGGCCAGACGTTAGTGGCCGCGATCTCTGGGTCGGTAAAGATCGAGACGACGCAGGGCAAAATCTTGAAGGAGCTGCGCACTATGAGTCGCTTCCTGCAGCGCAATCAGAGCCAGCGATTCAGTGACGCGGCCCAGCAGAAACTTGTGGACTGCGTCGGCCATTATGTGGGGCTGGGCAAGCAGGGAGGATCCATGCTTCCTGTGGCTGAAGCCACGTTCCAGACGGTGAAAGACGGCCTCGCAATGCCGTTTAATGTGGTCGGCACCAAGCAGAAGAAGCGGTTGCTCAAATGGTACAATGAGCTCATCGCAATTGTTGGTGGAGATCCAGATGCAGCGATTGCTAGCGAAGTTGTCGCTGAGCCGAATATCGAGTGGAGTGTCATTGATATCGACGAAGACGGATTTTTATCGCTCATGCAGGTGGAAACGGGCGAAACCAGCGAGAGTTTCAGAGTGAAGAAGAAGAGCGCAGAGCACAAACGGATCAAGAAGGCATTAGAGAACAGTGAGGTCACGGTTGTTACCAGTGGTGATGAGATTGAAGAAATCCGAGTAGAAAATGAATAGATGGAAATGTTTCTAGCCTGCATACTAGATCATAATTAAGGGTGGCTAAAACGCATTGAACGTTGACCCCGCTGCTCCGTTAAAAGGGACTGGCAGCATCCGTCTTTTGACGACTCTCCGTCCAAGCTTTGGCAATCGTACGCTTCATCTCGTCGTCACCTTCTTCGTACATGTTCTAAATAACAACAAAAGTGCGTTAGATTGCACCTCCTCTAGTCAGAGGATTCATAGCTGTAACGCACCTTCATCATGTCCATGATGCCTGCAGCAGGATCGCTCGTGTCGGGCTTGCTGGTCTTCAGCGGGTTCTTGGCCGTCAGATTCATCCACGTGTCGTTCTTGTCTGCCTTATGCAGTGAGATCGTGACGCGGTTCTTCTTCACGCGGAACGAGCTCTTAGCTGGGTCGATCTCCTTCTCCAAATGCTGCTTGAACAGTCTGTAAAACCATCAACCACTGCGTCAATCAGCATTCAAGAGATTCAACTACACCTCAAGCGAACGTACCGGAAATTCTTGTTATCCAGTCCAACAATCTGCCACAAAATAACAGCAACAGACACGTCAGCAACCTGCTACTAACCGCCTTCTGAACTGTAGCATTTCATCGCACCTTGAGATCAAACGACGTTTTCGTGAAGTGGCACGTCACATTCTCCTTTGGCAAATTGCCAACCCCGTCGATGCCCGACATGACGTAGACCGCCACCTTCTCCTTGCCGTAGCCGTCGTCCTCCCAGCCGAAGCGGCTAATCTCCGTAAACGTCGTGAGGTCGCTAGCTGCAGGTCGAGTCGCCGCCACCTTGACGGGTTGTGGATCCACTTCCATGGGCTGCTCCTGTTGGGACTTGGCAGCCTCCAGAGTTTTTTGTTTGCGCTGTAGCAGCTGCTCCAGGTCGCGGCGGTTGCCGCTCGTCTTGGTTTGCGCCAATAGCGTCTGTAGCTCCGCGACCTCCGCCGCCAAAGTGTTCGTCATGCCTGCCATGATATGTTGCTTGTTGGTTTGCGATCCGATTCAAAAGTGACGCCTGAAAGGCAACAAAGCGTTTTTTCTAGAACATTTTCTGGAGAAAAAATAAGTCCGATTAAAATTTGCAATTTTATTTTTTTGAGTCTATTCTTTTTGTGACCTGGTGTTTCAGTTCCCTATAATATCGGCGCGAAAAGATGGACAACCGAGCGCCGGTCTCGGTCGCTGCCGGGGCCTCCAGGGACATTCCAGCGGTGTCTCCTCCTCCCATAGATGCTGGAGACCTCGCGTCTGCGTCCAGTGACTTGAATCTTGACGCTGCTCCTTCTGAGGCCCCCGTACAGTCAATACAACCTGCGCTATCAACAACGACGGATACAACGCCCAGTGGCTCTCCCACGCCGGCGTCAGCGCAGCAACAAGGAGAGCAGGAAAGTACCAACACTCGCGAGCTGCCGACAACTCCAGAGACAGAGAGGTCAGCCAGCGAAGGAGTGGTGACCCCCACAGAGAGCGAGAAAGGCTTGGACGGGGTACAAAATACGGTCAGCAGAGATCAAAACGGAGCGGCGACAGCTGCAGATACGACGCAGAACGGAGGTGCCCATTCTCCAGGACAGCAGAAACAACAGAATGGTGTTGCATCTGGACAAACAGAGCAGAAGACGGGGAAAAAGTGGTTCGATGTCTTGCCAATGGTGCTGCAGAATTTCAAGGCGCAAAATCGCGAACAGATTCGACGTACGGTTTCGTTGATGTGCTAAAATATACGCTAGATAATTAACGTACTTTGTTCATGCATCTACAGAGCTGATGTTGCCACGGTGTGAGCTGTGCAAACAAGGCAAAGTGGATAAGAAGGGAGAGGTGAAATGCAACCAAGAAGGATGCATTTTGAGGGGCCGTTCGCTATGTTCATCGTGTTGGAAGGCAACCCATTCGTCACAGAGCGGACAAAAGCACAGTCGGCTCCCTGCCTCATGTAAGTTTTTATTACTTTACTCAAAAAAAGGAATGTCGTTAATTATTTACGTCTTTGCAGTTTGTCGGCAGTGTGAACTGGACCGGGTCGCGTATTGGTGTGCAGAGTGCGATTTGCAGTTTTGCAGAGATTGTTTCGAGCAGATCCACAGTGTTCCCAGGACTAGACGCCACCGCAAGCTTGCGACAGAAGGTCTGCGTATTTCTGCCCTATAGACGGCTTGATGCGGATCACTAATATTTATTTGTTTTTATTGTGCAGATGCACCTGGAACCTGTATAGCAAAGTCTCACTGGGCTGCGAATTTCCAGAATGTGATCTCTCAAATGATTACAGCACGAAAACACCCGCCTCCAGCGTCAAATGGGAATTCTGGTGACAGAGTTGGTCTGAAACGGAAGCGCGATGTTGAAGTGATCGTTATTGATGGCTCAGATGAGGAGGACACCAAGCAGACTGGGTCTGTGATGAACAGCGTTGCCAATGGAATCTCCGATCAACAGGTTGAAAGCACGGGAAACAGCAACACTACTCGAAGTATTGAAACAGAGAGCGCGGTTACTCGGTCCAGTGAATTGTTCTCCCAGCTTCAAGTGCCACCGGCGCCTACTTCTATTAGTTCGTTATTCCAAACACCAGCTGCTCCAAACTCAATGGTGGAGCCTATTTCTCTGCAACAGGAGCCTACCGACATGAGTTCAACGCCATTGCCGTCGCCCGAAACAATGCAGACGAGCACAGCGTATACAGCATCGAGTGGACTCAACACTGTCAACATCAACTCGAGTGTGGGGGGTCTGCAGTGGAATGGTAGTGCCGCTCAGCTCAGAGCTTCAGCATCGATGGGAAATGGAAGCAGCAGTACAGCCTTCGCGACGAATGTTATGAACGGGATGATGCACGTGTTACCAAGCTCCATGCCCGCTGCTGTGAGCACAACGGACGGAATGTGGTCGACAACTTCTGCCATTAGCACAGATTTGGCCAGCACCTCTAATCCGAACAACCTTTTGCCACTCGGAGGTGCCGTCTTTGCCGAGAACGCGCTGGTCGACTCGTTGGTGGATCGATATCACGAAGTGAACCAGAACGTGACTAATATGGAGCGGCAAAGTGAACAGTTGACCAGACAGATAGCAGTCGCCACGTGCCAAGGACCATACGTCGCAGGACCCATCATGGCCTTGCTGAGCAAGCTGCAGCCTGTGCTGGAGGCAGCAAGAGTACGGCGGGACAAGCTCCTTATCGCGATGATTATCCAGTCCAGCGATATCATGAAAGCTGTGCGTCTTCTCCGTCTGACAGAACTCGGCGATGTACCTCAAGTTCCCATGATTAGCCATCGCAAGTGTCTGCAGATATCGGACGAGATCAATCATCACAAGACGAAGCTCATCGAGTTAAATCAAAATCTGAGCGAGACGTTGACTCAGTCCCGTGGAGTGAGTTCCAGCTGGGAGAGCACATTCATCCGAACGACCAGCGCCAATATCCAGATGCACGAGAAGAGCATCAAGGAACTCAAGAAAGCTCGAGAGGTGGAGTTTGTGCGGATTGTGCAGTTCAGTCTCAAGATCCGTGAAGCGCTTAAGGCCGCGTTCCAACGCACTGTAGATATGCAGCGCCAACAGCAACAACGGCAGCAATTTCAGTAGGTTTTGACTGCTACAGCGTGTGGACTATGCTTTAGTGGTCACAACGACAAGGAAAAGCAGCGCAGATGTAGGCAAAATGATTATTTAATGGCGCACAATGCAATTAGCTATGCCGGTACACGAGGAAGCCAATCTGACCCAGGAAGAAGTATAACATCCTGCAGATGGTCAAAGGTAAGTAAATAATTTACACAATGATAGAGAACTTACTTTTTGACTTCATGTGAGACGAAGGACCCGAACGACTTGCCAACGATGACGTGCCACGCGCCTTCTTGAGTTTCCTCGATTTCGTGCTTGATCTGCTGCGCAACCTCTGTAAATTGGTTCTTTTCGCCCTTGTAGAGTGCCTTGAGTGCGTTTGTGGCGCTGGTGAGGATGAGCTCTTCGAGTTCCTTAGACGTATCCTGGTACACGATACGCAGTCCACCTACAGCTACGTCGTCTTTCTTTTGAGCCTTGGACATGGTGTCTCGTTGCGAATCTTTTGAGAGTAGGTGCGTCCCGACGGTTAAGCTAAATCAAGCAAATTGAGTTTTAGTGCGTTGATAATGTCAAGGCAGACAGACACTTACGAGCTCTTGGTGCAGCACACTGTGCGTGATGTACTGTTTAGTGAACCCTCCAACGAGAAGCAAACACCTGCCAAACATATGAGCATGGCAGACAAGATTGAAATTCAGAAAGACTCGCTTCTGTCCCTGTTGCTCAATTCTGAGAACGAGAACCCTGCTGAAAACGAGGACAATAATGCTGATGAAGCTCGTAGTTCATGGCTATTAGATTGTCCGTTCTGGTCCATTGAACGTTTACGACGCGAAAAAGCTGCTATCAAACGGTATCTCCATAGTCAAAAGTTCCAAGACAACGGCAACAAATTGTCTGGTGATATGCTGATGCTTCACGAAGCCTATGCGCTGCTCAAGCTTTTCCTTCTTGAACGAGATCCCGCCTATCTGCAGTATTTGCAGCAATCCATCGGCTGCAGCAGTTCGTTCCTCACATCATTGCATGTACAGCTCACACTGTACGCAACGTACTTCGAGCGAGCTCACGGAAGACAGGTACAGTGTTCAAGCACATTCAATGTCTCTTTATTTGACCTTAACACCGGACATTTCTACTCTGTAGATCTCGAAAAAGACCGACGTAGAGCCGATTGGGACGCTCTATGAATTGTTCTTGAAACAAACCGAGTAACGAGAAGCGAAAAAATAAAGACGTTCTCGTTTACGGAGTTGCACTACACGAACGAACTGTGCGTGGGGATGATGTCATCCTTCTTGGAATCCATACAGGGAACAGACAGCCACGCGTAGTAGAAAGCTGCACCGCCCATCACGTGCATGACGCCCTTGGCGAATCCCAGAGCTGTGTGGCTCTCGTCGTTCTCGAAGAAGATGGCGATAAAGCCCACGATAGTCGCTCCAGCTAGACACCCGACTGCATATATTGCGTTCTGCTTGTTCAATGGGGAAATGTCGCCGGTAGGCGTGACAACGCGACGGTATACTAGAAGCAGCAGGTAGCAGACAACGAGAATCCCCTCGTAAAGCGTCGAGTCCCATCCGTCCTTCGTCTTGAACAGCCACGCACCCGCAAACGCTACGTAGCGCAGCACAATGTTATGGTTCTCGTCCTTGTAGCCCATGAGGTGCACGCAGAGCAGCAGGAAGTACGAAATGGACACCACGTCGGATATAAAGTGCCACTGATCCTCTCTGAGGAACAGCTGCGTGGCAAAAGCTTCAGCAGCATTAAAGCTGAAGGACACAATGAGTTGCAGCACGCCGATGAACAACTCAAAGTGGCGGCGATTACGCTTCATCACGTCCAGCGCCGGTAGCATCGCCGCATCTGTAAGCGCCAGGAACACGAAGCGCCCTACCTCCAGCAACATGGTCGAGTACGTATTACGATCGTCCAGGAGATAATTCTGATCCCCCTGATCGGATATTTAGCCAATCAAAACGAGTTAAAGCATGCGCACTCCTCTAAACAACTTCAATCTATTTGGAAGGGGACCTGGTCAGAAAGTGAATGCGAATCCCGATAGTCGTCATTGTTCAACCTGCCCAAGACCCGATCAAGCTTCGACCATGGCAGTGTCAGCGACCGCTATTCTGCTAGACGGTAAGGCGACGAGCGACGAGATCCGTACGCAGCAGCTGCAACCTCAGTGTGCCGCCTTCAAGCAGCGCTACGGCCGATCTGTGGGGCTTGCAGTGGTTGTTGTGGGCTCCCGCAAAGACTCGGCCACGTATGTGCGCATGAAGCAGAAGGCGTGTACCGCTGCAGGTATCGCGTCCTGGAAGATCGCAATCTCCTTGGACGATAAGCCCCAAGAGAAGGTAACCAGCGAGCTACTGGCCACCATCAAGCAGCTCAGCAACCGCGAGGACGTAGACGGCATCATCGTACAGCTGCCGCTACCTTCTTTCTGCGACGAAAGCGCCATCCTCGCCACTATTGACCCCAAGAAAGACGTGGATGGTTTGCATCCCGAGAACCACGCAAAGCTCTTCCAATATGCGACTACAAAGGCGCAATCAGAGCCTTCATTCGCTCTGCCCTGCACGCCTGCTGGCTGTCTGGAGCTGCTGGACCACTACAAGATCCCACTGGAAGGCAAGCACGTCGTGGTGCTTGGTCGCAGCCAGATCGTGGGTCTGCCTGTATCGTTACTGTGTCTCCATCGCAATGCAACGGTCACTATGTGTCATTCACGGACTCAAGAACTTAAGAAGCGTGTGCTTGAGGCGGACATTGTCATCGCAGCCATGGGACGTCCACGCTTCGTGCAGGGAGATTGGATCAAATCCGGCGCTACTGTCATTGACGTGGGTATCAACGCTGTAGAGGACGCAACCAAGAAGAGCGGATATCGTCTGGTGGGCGACGTGGACTTCGAATCGGCTGTGAAGGTCGTGCATGCCATCACTCCTGTGCCTGGAGGCGTTGGCCCCATGACTGTAGCCATGCTACTCAAGAACACCATTCAGTGTGCAATTCAACGTGTGCAACAATGAATTAAGCACGTTACAACTCAAAACTCTTAGGAGAACCACCCAAAACCCAGCAATTTGCTCGGCTTTGGCTGCTTCCTACTAGGTAAGGCGACACAAACTAGTTCCCTGACCTCATACGTTTTATCAGTTATCCAAGAGAAAATCCTGTTCGTCTTCTGACGAGAATTGTCCGCTCTCTTCTACAAGCTGCACGTCTTGATGTAGTTCCTCCCAATACCCTCCAGGTACTGGCGCTTCCAGTTCGTCTTGATCAGCAGGACGCGAGTGCATTGACGCTTGTCTCTGATGAAGTTCATTCACGGCTTCCTCCAGTCTCTCCAGCGCTGTCTTCTCACTAGCTAGACGCTTTAAATTCTGCTCTTCTTCTCTCGGTTCAGCTCCAAACCGCCGCTGTGCTTGGAGCAGTAGCCGCATACAATCAAGCTGACCATACGCTGCAGCGATCTGTGCTGGAGTCTCCCAGTCGTTGTTACTCAATGTTGGATCAGCACCGAGTGCCAGTAAGTTCTGTATCACCGCAGCACGTCCTGAAAACGCGGCCCAATGTAGCGGAGTGTCACCTCTTTCGTCTGCTACATTCACGTTGGCTCCATGTTGTACTAACCGCGCAATAATCGCAAGTGCAGCAGGCGATTCCACCGCGTAATGCACTGGAGATCGATGTAAATCGTCGAAAGCATTGACGTCTGATACTCCTCCAGGTGTCAACAGGAACACAGTCATGGCTACATCATGTGCTAGCACAGCCAAGTGCAGCGCTGTTCGACCTTCTGCATCGCCTTGAGCTTGAAGCAAGCGATTCCACTCGACATTCGCTTCAGTAGGAACGATTAACTGCTTGGCACACTCGACAAAGCCCTTTTCAGCAAGGTAATGCAGTGGATATCGCCCTGAAATATTTGGGGAATGGAGATTTAGTGCTGATGGGACTAGAGAATTTATCGTTCCAACGGGTAAAATATCCTCCGCGATGGAATCTTTCAGCATCAATTGCTGTAAGAATCCACAGACCTCCACTTGATCTTCTTCACACGCACGATGTAAGACGTTCTGGCCTTGATTGTTGGTCATTTGTATGTCAGCTCCATGTTGTAGTAGCTTTTGCATGAATTCAAGGTGGCCTAGTGACGCGTACAACATCAACGGTGTATCGCCGTTGCAGTCCACGGCGTTAACGTTTAAGTTTGTACCACAGGTTAGTAAGAAGTCCAGAACTTCAGCTCGAGATCGATGATTCTCCCTGGAAAACGACAACAGATGCAGCGCATTGCGTTGTGTCTTTGGCTCAAGAGCTCCAAGGTCTGCTCCTCGTTGCTGAAGGAACGTAGCGTCTTCTAACGATGCGTGATCTACCGCTGTGAAGAGCGTAACTTCCTTCTTCGCTCGTGACGGAGACGTCGGAGATGCAGGTACTGGAGATGACGCTGAGGGTTCATCGGCATTTGTATCGATCCCCAAGATCTGTTGAAGTCGAATATGAGCGCGTTGTTGTTTCATCTGCTGTAGTAGCTGGACAGATAGAGGTAGCTCGTTTTGCTTGACGTCGTGGTAGCGCAGTTCCGACCTCGGGTTAGTATTATCTTCAAAGCAAACTGGAGACTTGAAAATGGGCAACGCATCGATCGTGAGTTCTTGTAAAACTTGCTGGATCTCCGACGCTAAATAATCCTCACTTGGCTCGAAAAGTTGCAGTAATTTACGCGTAGTTTGCCTGTCGAAGCGAAGACGAGAAAATGAGGTGTTCTGGTTGGTCTCTGGTAATAATTCTGCGAATTCTGTTGATTTGACTACGTTCCAGTCCAACCAGGCACGAGCTCTCTTGAAGTAGAAGTGGAAGTGTTCGTTCTTCGTCTCGTTGTCAGCATTTGAATTGGAGAACGAATGTTGCAAGTAAAACTGCATTCGCTGTCGTCGCAGATATCCTCGAACGCACTTTTGGAGCACAGTTGCTGCCTCATGCCAAAATATAATCTGGTTCACACTGCGGGATAAAATGTGAGGTAGTTGTCGGTGACTCCAGTCTTCCACTGTCAACTCCACAGTACTGCGAATAACTTCCTCCTCTGATTCTTTTATCGATTCTTGATAGTCACTTGCATCGTTCTGAAACTCCGTAGGCTCCTGAAAATCTCTTGCAGGCTCTTCATTGTGATGCTGGTCTACCGGTTCATGTTCATCCACTTTGTCGATCGTTTTTTCGGGTTCATCCACGTCTTTTTTCTCTACTACCTCTCTGTGGGATACACCTGTCGTAGCGATCAATCTTCGTCGAGAAACTAATGCCCTTTGTATTCGTTTAGCAGCCAACGTCCGCTTAGCCGCAATCAGCTTGCGTTCGAGCGCTTTGGCCTCTTGGATCAATCGTAGTTCCTCGCTTTTCACAGCTGCACGCTTCGCTTGACGTACCCCAACGTTCCATTGTCGCCAACACACTTGCACTTTCGTTGCGAGCACTGAGATCATCAGTTGGTACTGACGAACTTCCTCGGCGTGTTTCGCTTCAATTGCTTGCAAATACTGAATCCGATACAGCCAACCTTTCCAGATCGCCTCAATTTTAGTTGCTGCTCTCGCCTCCCTTTGACTCTGAAGGTATCTCTTGACTGCACGTACGATACACCGACCACAGGATCGCTGCGTGATGTTCTCCACTTTTTGCTGACGCTCTAAATCATTTCCAGCTTGTTTTGAGTCATGTTGTGGTTCCGTTGTCACGCTATTTCGTGGCTTCTGCGTATCGTCACCTATGCTTCTAGTTCTCTGTTCAAGACGCAGATGTCGCCACCTTCTCCAGTGCTTTTGTATCTTTAGCGCATTTAAATTTTGTTTGTGGCGAAGACGCTCTTGGACTACTTTACGCCTCTGATGTGAAATCACCCAGTTCCGTTGAATTTTTAAACAGCTCTCGTCTTGCTCCTGTTGAATGCGTTCTCGCTCGAGTTCTTCTTGCTGTTCGTGATGCCATGTGAGCCACCGTGTCTGAATTTTCAGCGCAGCCATGTGCTGCTCGTGCTGAATACGCTGTCGATCCATTTTACGTCGGTGTTGTCGAATCCCCCAGTTCCGTTGGATTGTCAAAGAGCTAGTGTTTCGAGTCTGTCTTACTTGTTCACTCTCTCGTTGTTTATCCAGCTGCTTGCGCTTATTACGCCAAAACGTTTGGATTTTCAACGCATTCGCGACGTTCTCCTGCCGTAGATGTTCATCATCCTGTTGAGATATCTCCTCTTCTATGGTCTTCAAAACAGTAGCATGATGTGTTCTCCATTGGCTTTGAATGATCAAAACTGCAGCAGTCCGATATTCTTGCTCTTGAACTCGCCTTTCCTGTTCTTGTCGAGACAAGTGCCAATTCTTCCACCTCCGCTGAAGCTTCATGGCACTAACACGCTGGTTTTCTACAGCTCGCTGCCTATCTCGTTTCGCTTCTTTTTGACACTGCCATCGACGCCAATTGCCTTGAATTCGTCGAGCTCCAAGATGCCGTTTACGTTCAGCTTCCTGCTTATTTTTCCGGAATAGCTTCCCTGTCCAATTCTGCTGAATTCTTAACGCAACTGCACGCTCATCTTTTTCTTGTTGTTCTCGTTCCGCTTTCTTTAACAATCGCTGACGGTATCGTCTCCAGACGTTTTGAATCCGTCCAACTGCTAGAATTTCACGTTTTTCCTTCTGCTTTCGTGTCTTGTTCTCCATATACTGTCGTCTGCATAGCCATTGACGCCAATTTCGCTGGATCTGTTCAACCGCCATCTTTTGTTCGTTCTGTACACGTTCAACTTCCGCCTTATGCTTTTGCCACTTCTCCCAGCGTGTCTGAATTCTTTTAGCGCTTTCCTCTCGTCGATGTTTCCAGTCGATCCACTGTCGCCAACATCTTTGGAGCTTTCTAACGCAATGTTTTCGCTGAATCCGAAGCCGCTGTCTTTCTCGCTTGGCTATCCTCGATCGGTGCCACCTTCTCCACTGCTTTTGGATCACTTGAGCGCACGCGTTGTGCATGATTCGGGTCCGAGTTGCCTTCACTCGCTGCTTCTTTCTCCACTTTCTCCACCACCTTTGAATTCGGAGAACGCTTGAGAATACAAGACGGCGAGCACGTCTTTGTTCCCTCAGCTTCTTCTTCTTTTCGGCCCATTTTCTCCATACTCTCTGGATTTTACGCACGTTGGCTCGTTCTCGTATCGACTTGAGGTGCTCATTAAACTCAAGTTGTTGTTGTTGCCTCCGTTCACAATCAAATTTGACCCAGCTTCTCCACACTCGTTGGATCTTTCGCGCATTGGCTGCAATACGAAGAACTTTCAGCTGTGCTTCAAAGGCTAATCGCTGCACGTGTCTTCGAGCTCGCTCGCCTTGGATCCATCGTCTCCACGCAGCTTGAATCTTACAAGCACTAGCTCTTTGCCGTATCCCTTTCAGATGTTCATAGAAAACCCGTCTTCGCTCTTGCTCTCGCTTCACCCAACGTCGCCAAACTCCCTGGATTTTCCGCGCATTAGCTCGAATACAAATCGCATCCAGATGCGCATCAAAAGCTAATTGTTCTTGAAGTTTTCGCTCTCGCTCACGTCGGATCCATCGCCTCCACATTCCTTGGATTTTACGTGCATTGGCTCGAACTCGAATGGCTTCCAAGTGAGCATTAAAGACGCGCAGTTGTTCTTGCCGTCTTTGAAGCCACTTCCTCCACCACAGTTGAATTCTTCGAGCTAATACCCATCGTCGCTTGTTTTCTTCTAGTTGAGCCAGCTCTAGTTCTTGCGCACGTTTGATTCTTCTCCATTGCCGCCAAACTCGTTGAATTTTCCGGGCACAACTCACATTCCGTAAATGTTCCAACCTCGCAAATTTGTGTAATTGCGCTTTGTAGAACTGCGTCACACTGGCAACACCTTGAGCGATGCCTCTGCTAGTCTCACGCTCAGTCAGTAGCTTCACGTCGATGATGATTTGCACAAGTTGAGCACGCGTACGTCCAGCGATAGATTTCTCCAGCGCTGCCTTCTGTTTGTGCTGTATCCGGATCATTTCCACTGTTTTGTTGTTCCGCTGCTGGTTGATGCGTTGATGCATGAAGTTTGACGCCTTTATGGACGAGATTTCGCTGTTCTTCGCTTCAATCGCTTGGCGTTGTTTCTGCTTCTCCTGCTCCAATTCTTGAACTGCTAAGGCACTGATTGCAGCCTTTTCCTTGTGAAGTTTAGAGAGCAGAACTTGGCCTGAAACCCAAGACGCTATCAGGTGCATACTGGCTTGAACTCTACCGTGTTCCAAGGCCTCTACTGCTTGTCTAGCCTCCTTCTCCTTCTCTGCTGCCAATTGATCCCTAGCTGCTTGCAGAGCCTGGGATCGAGTTTCCATCTCGGACAAACGCTGCTTGAGGCCAAAAGCGATCGATACAGCACTTCGACGCTGCTCCAGCTGATCTTCACTTGACATAAACTCACTTTCAGTCTTCTCTGCTAGCAGTCGTGCTTGGTTTAGCAAGAGGCTGCGTCGTTCACGTTCTGCTCTCCTGGACAGCGTCCGAGCTTCAATTAAAGCCTTGATTTTCTGTCGAGCTGCGCGCTCTTGAGAGATTCTTTCACGTTCTTGATGAGATTGGACGACTTGACGGTGGCTAGCGTCAGTTTGAGTAGCTTCTCGTGCCATTCGGTTGATTTTCCGCTCCAGTACTCGAACCTGTGTGCGAATCTTGCCGATACGCTGCTGACTCTCGACGTCCAGCTTCTCCTTGGTCAGCAGCTCATTTTTAAACTTGAGTTCATATTCTTTCTTCTCCATTTCAACTCGTTGCAGCTTCTCGTGTAGAAGACAAACTCGGAAGAACATCTGAATCTTCAGCGCTGCCAGTCGTCTCTTTCGTACCTCAACAGCTTGTTGCTGCTGCTGTACCACCCGCTCGTGGTGTGTTAACAGCAGCAGTCGCTCGTATTCCGACGCTTTCCACTTGTGATCGAGATCTGCGAACCTCGCGTTCATATCGGCAATTAATTCGATTCGATGCTTGGAATCGAGTCTCATGTTCCTCTCCATATCTCGCTTCGCCTTGGTCCACTTAAGTTGTTCCTTGAACAAAATCTTCTTGGCTATCTCCTGAGTCGCTTTCAGCTTGCGACGCAGTATAATTTCCATCAAAAACTTCTGAATATCCCTCAGAGCTCGTACTCGTCGCTCTCGTTCTCGAAGAAGTTTTTCCTGTCGCTGTTTCTTCTTCTTAATACGGAAGCGTTGATGTCTCCACCAGCGCACAATTCTCTCCTTTGCATCTTCACGTCGACGTCGTCGTCTTGAGATCCCCACGAAGAACAGCGTACGATAAAATGCCAAGTGAAGCGCACAAAAATCAGCTTTACGTCTAGAAATCTGCAAATTGTGGGAGTATATCATCCAATTCCGTTGTATTCGCGATACTGCGACGAATCGACAACGAATCTCTTGGTCGATTCGAGCCTGTACGCGTCTCCTGTAGTGATGACGCACAAACTGACGGACTTTCCGCCTTGCCACTAATCTGCGTACAATCAGTTTGGCTCGCTTGTGATCAATGACCCAACTTTTCCACGACGTAAGGTTCCTTCGCAACATTTTCAGCTCACGTTCCAGGTATTTAGGAGCGTTATCTGTCTTGGTATTTGCGGTGGGTGAGGAGTAGCCCATGAGCGACGAGTATGGCTGTGCAACGGACTGAATATGGTTCTCCACCTCGCGTTGAGAGACCCAGTGACTCATGTCGATTGCTGCCACTTGAATATCTCGACAGAGCGAGAAGATTCGGTTAAGCCCAGAGCCTTCGCTTTCACTGTCTTGGTGACTCGATGCTGGAAGATGAGTTCGTGATGAAGCAGGCGGTAAATTCATCGCTCGATCTTGTGTCGTCACCGAGGAATTACTTCGCGAGGATATAGGGGATGAATTCGCGGTTCTGTCACTTGCCAGTTCATAGTTATGAGATGAGAAAGGAAGCAGAAGAATCGGCTGGTCGTTGATCTCCACAGATATGTTGCTTCGAGCTGATAACGAAGAATGGTGATTCGGAATCTCCTCCATTGAGTCTTCGATATTAGGTTCTTCCAGTCGAGATACGATCGATCGGTAAGTACTGAGGGAATCCGTATCGTGAGCTTCAGGGACGGAAAAGATGTCATCTCTCGAGACACCAGGCAGTAGACTCAGAGCCATCGCAATATTCGAGAGAGCAATGGTTGATGAGTACGCGAACTCATCATCTACTGAAGGAGGTGCTCCTACTCTTTGGTCGACGCTTTCCGGTTCAGTTCGACTATTTCCCAGAGAGATACCAAGCTCGAGCAGTGAAGATCTACCCCTGTCAATTAACTGAGCTGCACTCGCGATTAGTACGCCAGTGCTGTCAATAACAGCAGAGCCATGCCCATCTGTTTCACTTGATTGTACGCTCACAGGTTCAATGAGCGGTATTGCTTCTTCGGGGGCCAGTACTTCATCGGCTCGCGGGGATTCCGTGGTCGAAAGCGAGAAATTCGGCAGCATTTGCAATGCCATCGCGATACTGGATAACGCCGAGTTGGACGAGTACTCAAAGTCGCACTCGTACCCCTTGTCATCAGTTGTTTCAGCTTCACGGATGCCTTCTGCCTCGCACTCGACTTGAGGATCAGTAGCTGGAGTTTCCATAGCGCTGACTAAACGACTCAGCCGTCTTTCTACTGTATCACGTGGTAAAGCCAAAGGATCTACAACAGGTAAAGCTTCGGCTTCCTCGTGATCCAGGTCCTCGCCGTTTGATGCTGGTACATTGGCGTCTCGCCGTGAGTCTGTGTTTCCAATGACTTGGATGGATGGCTTCATCTCGCTTCTATTGCCTTCATCATGCACTGACCACTCGGAAGTACTTCGTACTGATCTGCTCGATGTTTGCGTTGCTGCCGCCGTTGGTGTGTTTGGTTGACTCATCTGGATTCCAGCATCAACGACAGATGCCTTAGCAATTCTGCTTTTCTTTTTGGAAGCAGATTTTTCAGACGAGTTGCTTCTACTAGAGGATTTTGCCATTGCGGCCATGTTTAATGGCGGGACGAGTCGAGTATGTTCCACATTGGTATCCGCAACTCCAGTGCTATCAGTTGCAGCAGGCGTTCTATTTGATGCTGGTGAATCTGATTTCACAGCGCCTGGGTTTTTAGGACTTGGCAATTGTGTCCATCCCGCCTTGTTCGAAGTCCCTCTAACCGAGTCTTCAGAAGGCATTTTAGGGGCTGGAACTCTTGATCTTACGTCGGACGGTAATGCAACGTTTGCTTCTGCTGGACCAGTCCATGCTTCCATGACAGATAGTTCCCTTCGAGGTGGCTCGTCATTTCTACGATCTCTTCGTTGATCCAACCGCCGTATCCTATCATCTTCAAAAGTACCATAGTTATGGGAAGTCTCATCCGGTCCGTGCTGCTGAATATGCTTCTGCAAGTGGCTCCTGTAGCCACTGTGCGATTGCAGATATCTAGGCAGCATCTGAACAGCTTTCGAGCGGGTTTCCAGATCCATGAGATGTAATAATGCCGCCGCTACACGCTGAGCGGGTAAAACCTGCCAGCCTGGAAGATATCGTTGCGTCTGGAGCGCGAAGGTCTCGAGCTTGTGCGTCAATAATCTCAGCAGTGACGACGAGGAAGACGATGCAGAGCAGAATAATCCACCCGACGAAGCACTTTGATGACAAGCACAAAGTAAAACCTCGGACGAATCCAACGACAATCCATCCAAGAACGGGTTTCTTGCCAAGCTCACGTCAAAGTCTTCAAAGAAGCGCTGGAGTTGAGGTGAACACGCTAGAAAATCCGTATCCGACGACGCCATTTGCAGCAAGTATCCATAGAAATCCTGCTCCAGAATCTCGTTCTCGAAGCTTTTGTTAATTATACTTGACGCGTCAAGTTCGCTGCTCAAATACACCACTGCTTCCACCACTGCGAGCGACAGACTACGCATCCTGTTGAGCAGCTTCACCACTCGCTGCGGCACATTTTTCTCCACATGAGATGCTCGATGTAAAGGCAACACTCCCATCAGTTCCTGTTGTAAATGTGCCATCACTTGGTCGCGCAAGTGGATGTTCTGTCGGACAGACTCGATCACAAGTTGAGCAGGTGACTGCTCCAACAGGGACGAACGCATTATCCGCTGTGTCGATTGCTGAGAACGCTGAGCCATTGAATCATTGCGAGAGCCTAGAACTTGCTGCTTCAGCTTGTATGGACTCGCAAGGCGTCTGGCAGGAGCTTGATGCATCTGACGCTCACTTAGTGGCTTGGTCGTTGCATCTCTAGTAGATCTTGCTTGTAAACGCGGCTTTGGTTCCGCGATAGCGTAAGGATGAACTTGTCGACGGTGATGTGAGTCCCCAGCACTAGATCTCCTACCACCAGGGTACAATTCTGTACCTGCTCGTATGGCGCCTTGATACAGCGAGTCGTCCAGCTCGAGTTCAACTAGAAGGCGCTGTTGGTCGTGACGTCGACGTCCACTGAGCTCCGTAGTTTGACGCATTCGAGAGCTTCTTCCGCCCCACAGTTGACTTCGATCAGCCATAATTAACCGACACTTTACCAAAATGGGACGTTTCTTGAATGCGTTTCGTTAGAAACTCTGCTTAAAAATGTTGAGCACATGACACAATACACAAACTCTAGAGCTAGATTTTGATGAGAAAAGTTTAGGTTTACCAGTGCCAATTAGTTCCATTTGTACCTAGATCAGCATGTCGTCGTCCTCTTCCTCTTCGCCGTTGGTCACAGTCGTGAGGCCCTGGGCGCGATACAGATCGGCAATCTACACTCAACAACATCACGCTTAGTTATCTGTCAAAACAACAATATAATATCTCGTCGCACCTGAGAAGAGTTGGTGGCCTGCGTCGTTTCCTTGTCGTCACGTATGCGAATAAAGCGCGGGAAACGCAGTGAGATGCCCTTGTCCTTGGCCACCAAACCGATCGCAGCCGTGTACTTGGGCGAGATCGACAGGTCTGCACCTAAAATCTCCCATACACAACTCGCCTCGAACCAAACGTCCGGCTTGATTCCATCGCCGATCGCATAGTCACTAGGAGGCTTGTCCACAACCTTCTCCTTGAGCTGCTCGTAGAACTGCTTAAGCACTTCATCCGACAGCCCAGTACCCAGCTTCGTAATTGGCTGGTACATCTCCGTGTCTGGGTCATAGCAAGCCAACAAATACGCACCATAGACGCCCGTACGTTTGCCACGACCATAGAACGCACCGATGGGGACCAGGTCAGCCGAGTCACCAATACCATCAAGGTAATCCTTCTTGAGTTTCAGCCACTTGTGCGAGCGGTTAGCTGGCTCATACGTCGCCTCCTTCTCCAGCGTTTTCACCATCAAACCTTCACAGTTCTCACGCACAGCCTCTTCCAAGAAATTGCGAACTTTATCCACTGCTTCTTCCATCGCCTCTGGGTTATCCTTGACATCCACGCCATCCTCGACGTCCAATGACGTAGCAAATTCAAAGATACCAGGCTTTACGTCGAACATCTCACGGAGTTTTTCACGACGCTTGGCCAGCGGAGTACCAAGGAACGATTCGCCACTCAGGAACAGCAGGTCGAACGCGTAGATACACACAGGAACCTTGATATCCTCCACTTTCACATTCTGTCACAACATTACAGCAATTATACGTTAAATACAAAAATGCATAGAAAAAAATATACAGCGAAAGTACCTTTCGAGAGCGTGTACTTAGGATCTGAAACGGCAGACGTTTGTTAGTGACTCGATCCACGGCAACCACTTCTGCATCAACAATACAGCTATCAACGACGCCTTTCTTAGCAGCGTTCGTGATTGCTAGCTTAACATCGGGGAATCGCTCGGTAGAATTCTCGAAGTTGCGTGAGAAAATGGCTATTTCTCCGTTCGGCAGGATGTGAATCTGCGCACGTTCGCCGTCATATTTGTACTCGCAAGTGAATGGTTTCCCTTCGAAGCGATCGAACACCATCGCGTACGCCTTCGTTGGACGCGCAAGCATGGGAGACACTGGAGTGCCTGGAGTCAACACACACTTCTCGGCCACCTTGGCGAAATCCTTGACTCGAAGAAATGGAGCGCTGGAAATCTCCTTCTGGACTTCGTAAAAGGCAGCAACCAACGCGTTATAGCTGGGACACTCAGCAAACGCCTTCTTGACAAAGGTAAGCGCCTCCTGTTGTTTGTCCTTGTCCTTGTACTCCTTGTCCGCCATGAACGCGTAGGTCAACCCCATCAGGATCGATTTTTCTGCTAGTCCAATACGCAGCTTGCCTTGAAGTCCACGGATAATGTACTTGGCCCCCTCAGCAGCTGTCTGCGCGCCCTTGTCTTTCTTCTCCTTCTCGCACTTAACTAGTAATCCCTTGATAATGGAGCATTTCTGTTGCTGCGAGTTGTTTCCAGTCATCTTGGCAATCTTGACGAACTGGTTGTACACGTGTTGCACGGTGAGTCCGCTGCCGTTAGACGTCGCGGGTTTAAGCGACGTGAACGACAGAGTCTTCTGCTTGGACCGCGCATTCTGCGCCACCTTACCGAGATCTCCTTCCTTGTGATACATCTCCTTAATAAACTTGAGGTTTGCGCCGGTAGCCTCGCCAATAGCTTTCATGAGGATGGCATCGCCAATTCCGATCTTCAAGTTCTCGAAAGGCGGCGCCAGGTCCACACAGACGCACAGATAGATACATGCGAGCAGATCGTCTGGAGAGCGACGAATGACGTCACGGAAGAAGGCTGTGAGTAGGTCTTGAATAACGAGACGTCCTGTGATTTCTTCGATCTTGGCGAACAAGTGCGCCAGCTCGAAGTATGGGGTCTCGCGAGGCTCATCACCGTCTGCTTGTGTTTCTTTTGAGTCTGTTGTAACTGACTCGCTCTTGATCTTGCAAACTTTTTTGTCATCAGACGGCGTCGACGTGAGCTTGTTCTTCTTGTTGGCAACAGGAGTGAAGAAGCTCGTCTTGGATGCAGACGCAGTTTCCTTCTTGATCTCGTTTTTTTTGGTCTCCTTCGGCTTAGTTTCTTCAACTTTTTTACTTTCTCCAACCACTTCAACGTCTTCCTCCTCCTTTTTAGTGCTCTTGGGATTCTTTACCTCCTTCTTCGGACTCTTGACAGTCTTCACGGGAGTCATAGCTTTCTTTCCCTCTTTCTTCTTAGACTTCTCAGGAGTCGACGTCGGCGACGTTATGTCGATCACCTCCTGCTTTTTCTCCTTCTTTTCAGAGCTCATGGGCAGATCCAAGTCGCTGTCCTCGTCTTCTTCGTCCACGACGCGTTGACGCAGACGACGTCGGCCAGCTGCAGCAAAAACAACAGCAACATAAGTCCATGGAAAAACACTGTGTCCTTTACTGCAGCTACGTACGCTTAGGTTTGCTCTTAACCTCGTCGTCGTCGTCTTCCTGCATCTCAACGTCTTCTTCTTCCTGCATTTCAACGTTCTCCGGCTCTTCCTCCACCTGCTTATCCTCCTCGTCTTGTTGTTGTTCTTCTTCAACAACATCTACAACCTCTATCTTCTCTTCTTTCTCCACTTTTGGCTTTTTTGCCGGTGTAACAGGAGACTCTGCGGGTTTCACCGCATCGTTTTCTGCAGGTTTTCGCTTCTTGGCTGGAGGCGACGCCCCCGCGCCGAAGAACGACCTGACAATGACACACACTCATGAAGGTCAGCACGTCAAAGTAGCTGCAGGCAGACCAGGTGGACGTACATGATGGAGCTCTGCTTGGGTGCAGCTCTCTTGGCCATGTTGACGCAATTTCGCTACTGATCCATCCAAACAAAAATGGCGCCAAAATATACACCAAATGTACACCACAATAATTGCCAAAAGTTGATCTTTTCTGGCGGGAAAATAACCTTCACTCTGTCGAACTTCCAGCAACTTTTTGGTCAAATGGGTCGCAAGGTGATCGCGCTAGTACCGTCGGCGCTGCCTTCGTCCGTCAACTTGGGGCGCTTCCACTCGGACGCAACGGATGCCCCGCTCCTCTCCGTTGTCACATGGACCTCACGCTCAACTGCTGACTCCACTCGAACACGGCAATTGGCTCTGGACAAGAGCCAATGCCAACTCCTAGAGCTTCAACGAATGCAACCCATCGAGGGCTCGCGCAGCTGGTTCGTAGGCAACTGCGTGCTGCAAGACGGTGGAGTGATGGTCTTCTCGCCAATCGACGCGCTCTTCGTGTTGCTGGATGCGGCGTGGGGGCAACGCACACGCTTCTCGTCAGTCTACGATCTACTGGCACGTGATGGCAACACTTGGTTACTGCAGCTCTCGACGCTGCGTCCGGAGATGATTGAAACGATCTGTGACGTGCAAGCAGTCGGAGGTGAGGAAGGAGTTGACAACCTCTTCATTAAGGCAAACGAAAGCAAGGTTTCGAGCTGGCTGAGCGGTAGAGTGGAGAAGGTGGCGGCAGTGCTGGCAAAGCAGGAGCTGGAGGCGAACACTAAGGCGGCAGCAATCGATAACCAGGTAAATTTACCGGGATACAACAAGAAGGAGACGAGCAGTACTGTGACCCAGGAAGATGTTGCAAGACATTACCGTGAAGCAATTGATATTGTGGGCAATTACCTTTCGAACGAGTGGATTGATGTGCTCTGCGACAAATTCAAGTACGTTACGGTACTTCTAGTATATTTATTTAGTGATGCTGACGCTTTTGTGCTGTATGTAGGGTGAAAAAAATGGTGGAAGTCAAGGTTGTGGCTAAAGCTGCACCACTGGACACTTTTAAGCGTTTCGACCGACGTCAAACACCCGAGAATGGGTCCAAGAGATCAACTCCGTCCAATGCAGGCAGCGCTAAAAAGAAGAGCAAACTAGCCAATGTGGATCGCACCGGAATGAAGTCGCTGACGTCGTTCTTCGGCAAAAAGTAGTGGAGAAAAAATGGATCAAAGTGATACATTTAGCGAAATATAGAGCTGCTTTATCGTCGAGAGGTTGAGCCTTCCACGCTGACCCGATGCACTACCACAAAGTCGTCCCAACCGGAAAGAATCTTGAACTTAATGAAGGACGCATCCGTCGGCTTAACGTTCTCGTTAACGATTTGCATCTCGCCATCGGTCTCCTTCAACTCTGGCAACAAAATGCACCAAAAATTATCATGTGATCAAGAAAAAACGAATCTTCTCTTAAGACTGACTTACTTGAGTCAAATAGCTTTTCCCATTTTGTAGGTGTTGGCCCACTGCAAGATTCTACCGTCACTTCCTTGGCATTTCGTGTCCACATTTTAGCACGAACGACTGACGCTGTTGTTGCAAGCTGCACTACGATTTCTTGAGGAAAGCTTCCAGTTGTCACCCACATTGACGATTGTTCGCTGTTTATCAAAACAATACCGCAATCAATAGCTGGTTACGATAAAAAAATATCTTATCATAAAAGTGCACGCTTACCCATCCAAGATATTAACCGGAGGAAAGCTTGGGTCGTACGACGTCACGGCTGTCACCTGGGCACCCTCTTCGTCCAAAGCTAGCTCCATCACGATCACAACGACTGCAGATTTCAGCAAATGTTCTTTTAGGTCACTGAAAAATAACTGCTAGGCCAAGCAGCATATCAAAAAAAAAAAACTGTAAAAAAAGTAATAATAGCAAGCGGGATAACGCACTCATACTTATCATGTCGATTTTGCCCTAGATACCAACGTCCATACGAATCCTCGTGAGCGCTGTTGACCCACTTAAAAGTTGCTCCGATGTACTGTAAAAGTGGATGGCTAGCCTACTCCGCACCCAGCTCATGAAGCCAACGGAGGCTCAATAGACTCTTTATACAGACGCTCGAAGCCCGCCGACAGGATATCCGCCGCACGCGTGATACCGGACCCGTCGTCATTGAAAAGCTTGCAGTTCGACCACATCAGTCGAATATCATTGGCGAAGTGCGTCACATCCAGCTTCTTGGCACCAGACGCCGCCATGTTGCTGTCAACGACATACGCTCCTTTCTTCAGCTTGTTCTCGATCTTCGACAAGTCCATCGGTTGCTTCACCACCCGCGTGTACATCGGCACATTCTCCACGGGTGTCAGGAACGGCTTGGAGAACGGGTGCGACTTCAGACACGACACAATCTTCAGACACCTGTCCAGCAAGGTCTTCTCTGCAGCCACAGCAGTGGAATACGCGTCGAAACGCGATGGTTTCTTGCACTCAGTGCACTGCCAATCTCCCTCCGGCAGATCATTCTCCGTCATGTGCAGACACTTCAAGTGGTAAGAACGTGGGCACTTATCGCAGCAGACAAGGTCTCCAGCGCGCTGGCAAACCTCGCAGAAATCTAAGTTCGCGTCCAGTTCACTGTCCGATCCGCTGTCGTCGTCTTGTTCCTCGTCTTCTTGACGATAACTCTCATCCTCCGTCTCTTCATCGTCCTGCTTCACTCGCTTAGCATGTTTCGGAGGTCTACCTCTTCCCCGCTTTACAGGAGGGGCAGGCTTCTGTGCATTCTTCCTCGCTGGAGGTGCAACTCCCTCAGGAAGAGGATACTTGCGAGGACGACCAGGTCCACGATGAGGTGGCGGCGTCGGCGTAGGAGTTGCGTGGTTCTCCTTCTTGTCTGCCTTCAAGGTGTTGTCTTTCGCGCTGAGCTTCGGGCTTGCAATGGACTTGTGTTGGGCCTTGCTGTCATTACTCTGTTGTTTCACAGAGCTGTCGTCACGACGCGTAGGCTTGGAACCATCTCGTGACATATCCTCCGAGTTACGAGGCGCTGGACTGTCCTCGCCTGTACTTTCACTAATCTTCCGCTTGCGCGGCGGAGTCTCACCAATTGGCCGCGTACCAACACTCGGGCGACGCGGGCTGTCCGACTCATTTGAGCTAGTGGATGACTGATCTTGATACGGACTCTCTCCTTGACGGCGGCGGTCAGCAATTCCACGACCAGAGAACGTCTGGGGAGACGCGTTCATCTCAACATCGCCAGAACTTTGAGTTTTCACACCGCTTTCGCTCCTCGCTGCAATTCCATTCGTATTGTAGCGTGAGTCACTTGGACGATTATTACCGTCCTTGCTCGACTGGCTGCTCGCGTCCATTGCTGAGCTGGCGGGCGTTCCACCTTGATTTAACGAGCTTAGCAGCTGAACCAGCGACTTCTCCGACTCGGCACAATTCATTACGGTTGCCGCTGATGGTGATTCCGCGTGTTGAACCTGAGGCGACGCGACCCGAGCAGCAACACGAGGATCGTTAGATTGCGCACTATCCGCCATCACAGCGAGCATACCAGCCGACGTATCCTTGGCTGCACGTTTCGGGACGGGGGGATATTGCGACGGAGACTTCGGTTGTGCCTGCATACTAGGAGCAAAGCCATCACGCGTATTCTGTTCATCCGCCGGGTACTTGTCACTCTCGGACGGCTTGAACTGTATTTGACTGCGTGCGTCGTACGCTTTTTCTGCCTCAGCACTGTGAGTTGGTAATCCGTCCCGCTGCATGGGAGGACGACCTTCCGTTGGTGGTGTGGGAGGATACTGAGCGTATCGACGAGCATCGCTTGTGTTCACGCTTTGAGTGCCCCCATATGTCAACCGCCCATCAGAGGTCGGAGCAGACACAGAGGCCTTGGCAGCAGCTACGGCAGCAACAGCACGATCGTCCTTCACAGCATTCACTGACCCTTGTCCACTACGACGCAGCGTGTCCATAAGATAGCGTTTGTATTTCTTCACCTCCAGCTCCTTCTCAGCCGTGCATCTGGTGCACGGACATCCACGCGTACAGATCAAGCAGCGTAGTAGACGACGATTAGGCGCAGATCCGTTCCGGCCCACAAACAGAGCTTCCAGTCGCACTCTATACACGCTGCGCAAATGTTCCCGACAGAGCGAGTGGTGCTCGTCCCCATGTGGACAAAAATTCACCACTGGCACGAAGTGGTTATCGCTCACTCCGCACAAGTGACATAGTCCTTTAGCCACGAAATTGGCCTCTTCTTCCGGGATTAGATCCTCCATCGCCACAGCATACGCGTCGTGCAGCACAGACTCGTCCAAATTCACCTGCTCTCTCAGCATTTCCTCCACTCTAGGAGGCAGCTTCCTCTCCCTCTTGTAGTCCTCAGCCATCTTCCCCGAAGACGACGTCTCAGCCATCCTGCCCTGATAAAGCTTCCCTCCTGCAGAGCCATCCACTGCACGTCCCTGATAAGCAGCATTGCCCTGAATAAGCCTTCCCTGGTACACCACGGGTGCGTCCGCCAGTCTCTCCTGGTAACCTGGTGGTGGCTCCATCCTCCCCTGATAGCCCCCATCCATTGGCCTGTTCTGATATCCAGCAGGGTTCTCCATCGCTCTCCCTTGATACACAGGACCAGGCATCGGTCTCCCTTGATAACTAGCAGGTCCGTTCATTGTTCTCCCTTGATATGCCGGCGCTCCGTCCATCATTCTCCCTTGATATCCTGCATCCACAGGTCTCCCTTGGTAACTCTCCGGTGCTCTCCCTTGATAAGAGGGAGGACGTTCTACCGGTCTCCCCTGATAACTGGGGGCTGCAGTGTAGTGCTGATACTGTACAGGTCCCTGAGGACCCGACGCTTGAGGGTAGTCTGGAGGCGCTCTCGCTCTCCCTTGCCAACCCGCAGCCGAAGACGTGGCCACACCGCTGGCCGAGACGGCGGAGGCGGGAATGTATCCATCTGGCGTCTTACCCTTGCTCATGATGGCCTCCATCCACACTTCGTTGGGCGGGGGCGTAAGGCGCTGGCGCTTTGGGTTGTAACATTTTGTATTAACGAAGAGGGACAGAGAGATAAGATTAGAGAGGGGGAAGGACGAGAAGAACAGGAGAACAGAAAGCGGCACCTTGTCCCCGCGGTCCCGAGGCGCCCCGTGGTACATGCTGCTGCTGGCCACGCTTCCTTGCTGAGCCGTCGGCGGCTTGTCCTGCCTTGGAGGCTTCTTGAGATTTGTCGTTAGCACCAGGCTTTTTGGCGCGATGCGGCGACGTGAAAACGAATATATTGACCAAGAAAATGCGGAAATGATGTTGAATATATAATTAAAGAGGTACCCATCGCAGATGGTGCCTGGATTACAGTTTACAGTTTGGTCATGTTGCTTGCAGCCATGTCCAGCACATGTACCATCATCATCATCAGTGGCACGCAAACACCCACGTAGCCTCTAGCGCTACGATCGGCACACAGAAGCCCTTACCAGCGCTTTAAATTAACGTTTAAGAAACTTGAAATTATCTTAATATATTTGGCTTGAGCTTTCGTTGACAAATGCCATACCTAAATCACCAGGCTGCGTAGTAACAACTTTCAAAGGTCGTTTGAACATGTCGAGCTCAGTACAAATAAACAAGAAAACGTTGTGGTTTTATTTTTTTTATTCGTAGATTGGTTTTAGAGATCACGGTGGTCCCTCGCGAAAAATATGGAATTCATCGCTAGACGAGATTTCGTGATCATTAGGCTTGGATCGTATTTCGTGCAGACAAATGTGACCGGGAACATTGAGTCCCAAAGACTGGAGACCATACGAATCCTGGATTAATATCCGGTTTGGCAAAATACTAGGGCTTGCAGAATATACTACAGACCTGTGTCACCGTGGGATAGAAAACAGAGTTTGACGATTCTCCGCCTGAACTATTAGCGGCTATGATTAGTACCAGTAAACAGCTCCCCAATGCATCCCGTTCACCACGACAAGAACTCTAGGAGTCTTGCGCACATCATTCGGCCCCTACATGGAATTGTTACCAGTACGCCAGCTTATGCTCCTGCTTCGGGAAATGTCGGTACAGTCTGTTTGACGTGTGGTGCTACCTATCTGTGATTTTTCTTATAGAAAGGCAACAGCAACACCAGTATGAAAATTGAAATTAGATTTTTTGGGGTATGTACTAAATCATTAGTAGATATGCTGTTGCTCTCAACTTCGCTATCAAGTCACCGCGCTCGCTTTATTTCTAAACGGTGGTTAGCATTGCCTGGACATCGTGGATCGGGCTCTGCCCAAGTGTTTACTCTGGTTTACTTCAGTAGAAGTACCGTTTCCACTCTCAATTTACGCGTTTACACATCTAGAAGCAGATCAAAGATAAGTTCCAAGATGTGCAAGTTCGGCTTCCAGAACATACTGACTCAACAGATTTAGCCCGCTCTACACGTAATACGTCTAAATCACGGCAGGGGTGGCATACTTGAGACGCAAGGCAGCGATAAAGACTAAGGTATGTATTGGTGTTCATGCAATATGGTACGGCACATTACAAGTATGTAGACGTCACAAACTATCTGCAAGGCGTGAGCACCAGTATGTATTATACCATGCATGATGCAGACAGGTGGTCACACCACTCGTCGTATGTTCGTGTTAGAAAGTTTTCTGTGCAAGCATTGCCCGCCAGGCAAACGAGAGGGAAGCAGTCCTAATCAGCAAAGAAGTCCACAAGTGCGTTTCTGGAAGCTAAGCAATGACATTTTTATATAAGTTTATATTTATGAAAATGCTAGACTCGAAGCCCTTTGTAACGACGTACCAGTATGAAGCACTATCCAATCAAATAGTCTGGAAGTCGAGACCGTATGTTCTGATCGATCAGCTGCAACCTCGCATGGCTGCGATGGTTTGGTTAGAGTTGCAGGATTATTATCTTTAAAAAAGTGAAAGATATCAAGTTAATGGTACTACATCATCGTACTCATGGCAACGCTGTTTTTACTGCAAGGTATGAGTGATATGGGTGACGCTGATCTGAAAGGAGGCAAACTACTAGACGACACCGAATTATCATTTTCAAATAGCAATTGTCTTTGTGCTTCATCAAGAGTTTTTTCTGGCACTTAATGTGCGTGGGCGACTCCTCCTCCTATCTATGACTTGTGCTAAAACGAAATGTGGGCTGGCTAGCTACGTCTGCTCGGTAATCTTCAAAGTTTGAAAAATATGGAACTGGTATCTAATTGTACAGCGCCATCTTCGAAATAATTTTGTCCGATACTAATAAAAACAGCTCAAAATTGCATTAAATAAGTGAGGAGTCCAAAGCATTTTTCTTTGGCTGCAGCATTTGATAGCCATATTTCATACACTGAAATTGAATTTAATGAAATTAACGAATTTTGGCTATCTATTCTTAGGCCTACATTTGACATTAAATGTAACAATACACAGCAGATCCGCATGGAAATGTAGGAGTAGACATGCTCAGCCAGATCGAGCGAGATTTACTGTTTATAGATTCGGTAAGATATGTATTATCGAAGCAGGGAGTCCAAAATAATAAAACAAAGTCGTGCTTCGTCCAAACACAGAAGCTATGACATTTAGCAAAAAATATCACGCAAGCGCCGAGGCTTGGAATTTCTTTGTCAGCGCATCTATTGTGTCTGCTACGCGGCAGCAGCAGCATCTGCTCTTGCGAAGCTGGTAGAGCAGCCCCTTGAAAATACAACTGGATATGATGACACCAAAAACTGCCAGATAATTGAGGCGGCATTTTTAGCAGCCAAATTTCGTACAACGTCGTATAGAAGCGAGTATTTATTCTTCTTCAGAAAGTCTCAATTTTTTTTTTAAAAGACAGTAGACGAATAATAAACCAGCCAAATAATAAGAAATATGGCATATCAACTCCTGTAAACAATGAACAGCCTAAAGAAAACATGTAAGCTCACATTGAGCAGGTGAAAAACGCTATGCAACTCTCATTATAATGAAAATGATTGAATTATGTTGCGAACATGAAGGAGGCAGTAATATCAGAGTAGTGGTTGAGCTAAGTGTCTTGGGACACACGTAGTTTTGGAAATATGACAATTCGCTATTACGCAAAAAAAAGAAGAGGCTGTTGCTTCGTTTACCATTAGGAATCGGCAAAATGCAATAAACTGTCAGCATTCTCGAGTAAGTTTGCTTCTTTTTTTCTAATGCTGAGAAACAGCTTAAAAATAGTTTTTAGGACTAACATCTTTTTTGCCAACACTACGAGTGCGATGTTGTGGTAAACATGCATGACTAGCACTAAGAGAGCTATATCTATTTATGGAGACATGATGGCTAGTAATTGGAAGCATCGCCAGTTAAGGATCTTGCTTAACCAAGTCCCACTTCTATCAAGTCAATGTTGTACTGTTACCATGCACCGATGTCTCGACACTGCTGGTGTCCGAATTGGTAGCACTAGTTAGAATGCATAATACACACGCTTTCCAGCACTTTTGCAACTATCTAGAAGCCACGACTGCTACATTCTGCGTGATGCCAACGCCAACTTGCTCGTTGACTTCGTGTTGTTCAACGTATTACGATATAGTACCATCGAAACCACGTAAAAACTGACTACATTTGCAGTGGTGACAATAAATTGACTTTTGCTGATATATATGCCTTCCACCACAGGAACAATTTCAAATTCAGTCTAGCGAATACATAACGTGCAAACCGCGAACTAGTAAAACACTATCCCTAGCGTAAGCCGCAGACGATTAAGTTGCTTTAGCTGAGTACTTGAAAATCAGATTTTGTAACTAAATTCGGACATAACAGGATAGATACAACAAAATTGCAATCAGTCACTGGTGATAGGTTCCCAATTGCATCACTAAAACCAAATACTTCAATCATTGCAACTTCACACACGGAAATTAAGTACATATTGTTACATTTTTTATGTACTACTCTGCTTTGTTCTCTGTTCGTGAGATCTTCTCGACTTGTATAGCGTGAGGCTGCTATTCTATAGCGGAGTATACCTCACCGAAGAAGCCTCACATTGCCACTTCCTTACCTGCGCGATTAAATAGTCTATGTGAGCCTATTGTGAGAGCCTAACGAGTGTATACACGGGGCTCTACCTCCGGGGCTAAATAGGTTGTTATATTTATGACCGTTCTTTTATAACCGTGATCTATATGATGATCACAATGAGCTGTAGAATCACCTCCACGATCAATGCCAGCAACTCGATTCGAACTAGATTTACTCTGTTAATCGGTTAAGAGCGCTCATCGAATACTTCCATCACCTCGCTTACACCTTCATTTTTACTATCCTTAACGCTAGGGGTCGCTCTCGCCACTTTCCTCCTGCCGTACCGCACAAAACTTCTATCGTAGGTTTCACGCTTGCTGTTGAACCAGTCTTTCGAGTCGTCGAAAAAAAACTGCACTTATCTATACCTTGATGCAAGCAACAAATGCGCTACCAAAGGATAATCGGGCCCGATTTCCATTTTTCATCTGTTTGTTTGGTATTACTAGTGTACTCTCTGTACACTGGCTGTATAGTCAGCTATACGGGTATATATCAGTTAGTTAGTGTCTAGTAGAAAATACTACGGATTCTGTAGTAAATATCTGGAGCACCAAATGACTTTACCAAGATCTGCAAGCGGTTGCTTTGACTAACTGGAGTGGATATGGTTCCTTTTTATTCCAGGAATTAGCCTATATTGGAGAAAATTATTTGGATCGATGCATTACAAATTTTAAACTAAGGTCAGCATTTATTCATGGCAACTTAACTATCAGTCAGTTAGTGTCTAGTAAATTTACTACCATACAAACGCCCTACGCTACCTGTTACATGTAATGATTTATCCGCTTGTAGATGCACGACAATCCTCTATTTGAACGGCGTTCTGTTTTAGGGTGTTCTATTTCTAATCGAACCGTCTGTGCTACGGCGTTCAACTACCACGGCGTTGTATTACTTTTTGCCGCGTACTTTTTGGTATCAGACGTTACAAATTATAATATACAGGTAGTACTATGTCGTGTAAATTGCAGAGCTTCTTCGGGCAACTTTGTCATCTCGTTTTGTCTGCCCACAAAAGCTCCTACTACCACCTCTTGTAAAATCGAGAGCTGTTCCGAGCGATCGTT